GAAAAAAAAAAAAAAAAAAAACCAAATCTTGGAATTAATCCCACAAAAACCAAAACATCAAACCGAGAAGACAAAGTTATTAATAAAATTAAGAAGTTGCCAAAGTCCTTGAATTTAGACCTAAATTGCATTTTGGTCCTCAAATTAGTAAAATGACTAATGCCAAATTCGCAAATGGTTGTAGTCCCTTAACTCCACTTTCGTTAGCAGTGTTGGTCTTACCGTCATATTTGTTAAATTTAGGGGTAAAATCCAGCCACCATCACTCACACCAGCGACTCCCGCACCACTTTGCACCCAATTTCACCGTTTCCACCATCACAAGAACAAACAACAAAACCCAATTGCCTTCTTTTGAGTTTTTTTTAATGTACATGTCCCATCAAACAACCAAGTTCCCCCCACTATTTTTTTTTCAATACCTTAAAATCCAACTATACCTTTCACAAAAAAATTAAGAAAAAATTAAAAAGAACAAAGTAAAATTGATAGTTATACCTCCCATGACATACACACACACACACACACACACACACACACACACACACACACACACACACACACACACACACTCTCTCTCTCTCTCTCTCTCTCTCTCTCTCTCTCTCTCTCTTTTTACCAACAACCACCATCCCCTCTCAATTAACTTACTGCAACCACCATCCCCCCTCAATTACTGACATGGTCGTCATTGCACCACAATAGCCACCCAAAAAGTTCCCCTTTTCATTTTGTAGCACACACCCCAAACCTGCCACCAATGACCTCTTATCCCAAGCTACATCAACATTCAATTTTTGGAACTGCCTTAGAGCGTGACCACCTCTGCATAGTTTTAGCCGCCTTTGTTGGCTCCTCACTATTCATTTGCACCCTCCCTCGTCTTGCAGCATAAAATTTAGCAATCATTCTATGCACCTCATTAATAGTTCTTGGACACACAATTTTCTTATCAAACAGAGAAACACACCTTCCTTTCTAGATCCCCAGCAGGTATAAGAAATTTGCAATAAAACCTGCTCGTGCTATAAGCCATTCCCCAGCCCAGAACTCGTAGGCCCCATAAACCAGTCATGGAAGTCGACGATCCTTTGATCCTGGATTCTATAGCTGAGCCCACCCCCAAACCAAACACATTTTACCCAACCACGTTGCAAACATAAAGGCCCTACCTCCTCCTCACATATAGGGAACATCGGTACTTGATTAATTCGCCTCTTGTACAGGACCATACGAGTTGGCAAACAACCTATAGGCACTAGCCACTTGAAGTTTTTTAGCTTTGGGATCAAGCTAGAATTCCTAACCAAAACCCAACACTCCCTTCGAGTCCTCCTTGAAGTTGAAGGGTTTTAACTTCTAGACTTCAGCCAATGATACCCATGTTTAACTGTATATTTCCATATGACCGCACCATTCTATAGATTTCCTCCCTATTTTTAATTGGCATACCGGAAATAAGTCTTGTTTTATGATTAGAAAGATGACTCCTGATACTACTCAAGTCCCAACTCAACGTAGAAGGATTTATCATAATTGCCACCAGAGCCCTATCGTCTAATGCCCCAGACATAGTAGGAACTACATGGCCCCTAAAACTTCACCACCCATTGGTTTATCCAAATCCTCGCTCTACTCCTATCTAAGATATGCCATTATGCAACATTTTCTATAACCGTTCTTCCTTTAATAATACTACTTTAAGCTCATGAAGCCATTGATCCCTTGCGAGCTCCCATAAAAGCCCCGTTGGTAAGATAAAGGCTTTTCAACATTCTACCTCAATAAGAATAAAGTTTCTTACATATATGCACAAAGATTGTTTTGCCAGTAGAGCCAAATTGAACTCCCCCAAGCTTCAAAATCTTATACTCCCTTACTTTTTTATAACTCCCAAATCCTTCCAACTTACGCAATGAATATGATTCTCCTTATGAGATTTCACTTAAAAACCATCATCAAGTAAATAGGTATGGCATGTGCCATCTATTTTATAAGCACTTCCTTTCTTGCTTAGTTTAGAAATTTTTCGTTCCAATTTTGATCCTTCTCCAATATTCTCTCCTTCCCCAACGCTCCCCTCTTTGATCTTTCCTAGATCGTTGGTTGGCCCAGGTACTTGCCTAGATCCTCTGTAACATTTACACCCAGAATTGTTTGTAGTCGTTCTCTCATGTCTGGTGGAGTATTTGGGGTAAAAAAGCATACTAGACTTCTCAAAGTTGACCATCTAGCATGATGATGCACAATAAGCTCTCAAAGTTGACCATCGGGCCATTTGACTAGAAAATCTCCTTAAAGTAGTCCTCCATCATGCTTCGTACCCTGCCTTTTCTACCACCTAATTGCCCACAAAGTTCTTTACAAAGATAATGCAGTTTTGTCTCCTTCTCTGCAAGGTTAAGTGGTGAAAGAATGCAGTATTTGCATCACCCTCAGTCAACCATTGAACCCCAGACCTCTATTTCCAAAATGCTTTATCATTTGACCATAACTTAGAAATCTCTACCTTAATCTGACAGATCCTCTCTTGATTTAGCTCTCAATCACTATGTAGGCTCCTCATATTCCTCATGAGGTCGTCAATTATCTTTCTGTTGTTCGGATACTTTCACTTGCTTTATACTTTCAACTCCATCATATAGTTTCTTATTTTTCCGCCCTATACACTTTTTATATGATTCCAAACATCTTTTCCCCAACTTTTGTCCACTACTACCCTACACTATGGATCTCTTACCCAATATGACTCAAACTTGAATAGCTTCCTTCCCCTCCCATGACTCGGACTTGCACAAGTTTACATCCAGTCCCTACCCGATGTTGTTACCAGGATTTTCGACTGCTCAATAGAGAACTTTCAACTCCGTTTTAGATGCCCTACCTATCCACAGTTAACACAAGATTTAGACAACCTTGATTTTGAGCTCCACCTCGGGTGCTGGCCCTCCAATCGTGACAACCAGAAAACCAATGACAACAACTCTTTGACATTGATGCTCACTCTAAAGCGCATAAAATCCTAAGGGCCTTTAAACCATGGATCTTCAACTTCAATCACAGGCCCTAGCTTTTCTCCTATATTTATGACAAAATGGTTTGACAACAAATGTTAACAATTCACATGCTGTGAATGTTAGCGCTTATACATAATTTATTTGATCCGTTTGAAACCATTTGAATGTCCATTTGACTCCTCTTTTGATGATTGCACAACCTTAACATGAACTCTGCTATCCCAAAATAAAGAATGAACCCCTTGCATATCTAACCGATTCCACAAAAACCTCTGCATCAAGTCTCATTGTCTCTTGCACATGACTTGTTGGAGGAAATGCGGATTTGGCAAAACCAATCTTCCAGTAAAATAACGAGCACCTATTTCATTTTCTTAATGATAAAAGAAGCAGTAATTGGAACCAATTGGTCCTCTTGAGTTTTGGTTTGAGAAACTAGTATTTGCACAAAACACTCATTCCTTAGTGATTTTTATTTGGCGTGGAGCATTCCTTATAATTTTTTAATTTCTTGGAATAATACCCAATGTTCTTTTTTATGGATATTTAACACCCAGAGGCTCCATAGATATTTCATCCAAAAAATGTTTTCCATCCAAAATGGATTCATCATCTAGTGAAAACTTATAGGGTTTATACTCGATGGATTTCTTATCCAAGTAAAATTTGTGAGTTTCTCACCTAATAATGGATTTATCATTCAAAGGATTTGATGGAAGGTTAAACACCCATGCATGGAAGCATGTGATGATCAATAGGATTTCTCAAGAATTTAGAAGAGATATTTGAAGAGAGGTGACAACAGTTGGCTCGTTAGTTGTCTTTTGGCTTATTCATTCTCACACTCTTAGATTTGGATGAGAAGAACCTTAGCTTGATGAGCCTATATATACTAGCAAGTTTGAGGAACAAACACACAAATTTTCTTTCTAAAAAAGACTTCAAACTTGATCATCACTCGATCTCGTTGAACTCAACTACTTTTCATTTGTATTAGGATTTCCAATCGACAACTCTTGAGTTATCTTTTGATTTTATTGCTTGGCCAATACTTGGTATGATTCCAGTCGACAACTCCTGAGTTATCTTTTGTTAATATTTCATATAATAGATCAACTAATCATCTTTCTATTGGGCTTAGCCAAGTACCAATAATGGCACACATCTTTCTATTGGGGTGAATGCTATTGATATTATGAACACTTGCACAATTTCGGCGCATATGAGTATCTTCTAGGCTTTTCTAGTTAAGAAGTCCGAGAACTAGATGATGAACCACCAATTGGTCAATAAACATCTCCATTTCCACTAAGTGCGGCAGTGAGTAACATTACTTACATCTATGTGCATGTTTGGGGTTACATGGTGTTGTATTGGAGGATTGATATGAATTGGTTGGATGGATTCTATGAGTGCACATTCACTTTGACCACAGTGGGTTATGGTGAGTTGGTAGTCAAAAAAAGGATGAAAAATGGATTGTCTCTTCTTTTTTGTGGTTGTTCAAGTGGAAGAGGTTCTTGATCTCATTCATTATTGGTGGTAAGGTGGTTGCACCAAAAGGGATGGTACATCAACATTGTTTTGGCAGTGATTGAAGTAATATTCTTCGTTGGATTTGTACTCATTGCAATTCGTTTTATTGAGGGCATTGCTAGGTAGATGCTTTTTATTTGTCAGATGCCTCGATTACAACAATTTGATATTGGTATCACAATTTCAAAACAAGAGGGAAAAAGTAGTTTGTAGTTGTCTGGTTATTCTTAAGCACCAGTGTTTGTTGAATGCCTAATTTGACTACAATTGATATGTACTAAATTTTTTTAGTCATAGATTATTAAGTACATAAATCAAATGTTTCTAATTCTTTTTCTAATTTGAACATTATTGTAGTTAGATATTGATTAAGTCATCAAATCTATCACGAAACTGCATTGTTAACATCTTTGCAGTTAATTTTAACACAATTTCTTCATTTTAGGAATGCGCAAGAAAAAACTGTGCCCATCGAGTTTGAGACAAAGTCAAGAAGTTCTAGAAGTAGATGGTGAACCACCAGTTAGTCAACAAGCACTTCCATTTCCACTGAGTACAGCAGTGAGTAACATTACGCGTACATCTATGTGTATGTCTGCGGTTATATAGTGATGTATTTGAGGATTGGTATGAATTGGTTGGATGGATTCTATGGGTGCATTGTCACCTTAACCAGCGTGGATTATGGTGAGTTGGTAGTAAAAAAGAAACATTAAAAATGGATTGTCTCTTGTTCTTTGTGGTTGCTCGGGTGAAAAAAGTTCTTGATCGCATTTATTATTGGTGGTAAGGTGGTTGCACCAAAATGGATGGTACATCAATATTATTTCGGCAGTGATTGGAGTAATATTCTTGGTTGGATTTGGAGTCGTTGCAATTCGTTTTATTGAGGGCATGGCTAGGTAGATGCTATTTATTTATCAGATGTGTCGATTACAATAGTTTGGTATTGGTATCACAATTTCAAAATAATAGAGAAAAAGTGGTTTGTAGATGTCTAGTTATTCTTAAGCAGCAGTGTTTATTGAATACCTAATTTGACTACAGTTGGTATGTACTAAATTTTTTAAGTCATAGATTATTAAGTAAATAAATCAAGGGTGTATAATTCTTTTTCTAATTTGAATATTATTGTAGTTAGATGTTGATTAAGTCATCAAATTTATCACGAAACTGCATTGTTAACATCTTTGCAGTTAATTTTAACATAATTTCTTCATTTTAAGACCGCGTAAGAAAAAGCTTAGCCCATCGAGTTTGAGACAAAGTCAAGAAGTTAAAGAAGTAGATGATAAACCACCATTTAGTCAACAAGCACCTCGTTTTCCATTGAGTACGGCAGTGAGTAACATTACACGTACATCTATGTGTTTGGCTGCGGTTATATAGTGATGTATTTGAGGATTTATATGAATTGGTTGGATGGATTCTATGGGTGCACTGTCACGTTGACCAGTATGGGTTATGGTAAGTTGGTAGTAAAAAAGAAACATTAAAATTGGATTGTCTCTTGTTCTTTGTGGTTGCTCGGGTGAAAAAAGTTCTTGATCGCATTTATTATTAGTGGTAAGGTGAATACACCAAAAGGGATGGTACATCAATATTGTTTTGGCAGTGATTGGTGTGATATTCTTGGTTGGTTTTGGAGTCGTTGCAATTCGTTTCATTGAGGGCATGGCTAGGTAGATACTTTTTATTTGTCAGATGCCTCGATTACAACAGTTTGGTATTGGTATCACAATTTCAAAACAAGAGGGAAAAAGTGGTTTGTAGTTCTCTGGTTATTCTTAAGCACTAGTGTTTATTGAATGCCTAATTTGACTACAATAGGTATGTACTAAATTTTTTAAGTCATAGATTATAAAGTACGTAAATCAAGTGTTTATAATTCTTTTTCTAATTTGAACATTATTGTAATTAGATGTTGATTAAGTCATCAAACCTATCACGAAACTGCATTGTTAACATCTTTGCAGTTAATTTTAACACAATTTCTTCATTTTAGGAATGCGTAAGAAAAAACTGTGCCCATCGAGTTTGAGACAAAGTCAAGAAGTTCTAGAAGTAGATGGTGAACCACCAGTTAGTCAACAAGCACCTCCATTTCCACTGAGTATTGCAGTGAGTAACATTACGCGTACATCTATGTGTATGTCTGCGGTTATATGGTGATGTATTTGAGGATTGGTATGAATTGGTTGGATGGATTATATGGGTGCATTGTCACCTTAACCAGCGTGGATTATGGTGAGTTGGTAGTAAAAAAGAAACATTAAAAATGGATTGTCTCTTGTTCTTTGTGGTTGCTCGGGTGAAAAAAGTTATTGATCGTATTTATTATTGGTGGTAAGGTGGTTGCAACGAAAGGGATGGTACATCAATATTGTTTTAGCAATGATTGGAGTAATATTCTTGGTTGGATTTGGAGTCGTTGCAATTCGTTTTATTGAGGGCATTGCTAGGTAGATGCTTTTTATTTGTCAGTTGCCTCGATTACAACAGTTTGGTATTGGTATCACAATTTCAAAACAAGAGGGAAAAAGTGGTTTGTTGTTGTCTGGTTATTCTTAAGCACCAGTATTTATTGAATGCCTAATTTGACTACAATAGGTATGTACTAAAATTTTTAAGTCATAGATTATTAAGTACGTAAATCAAGTGTTTATAATTCTTTTTCTAATTTGAACATTATTGTAGTTAGATGTTGATTAAGTCATCAAATCTATCACGAAACTGCATTGTTAACATCTTTGCAGTTAATTTTAACACAATTTCTTCACTTTAGGAACGCGCAAGAAAAAACTGTGCCCATCGAGTTTAAGACAAAGTCAAGAAGTAGATGGTGAACCACCAGTTAGTCAACAAGCACCTCAATTTCCACTGAGTATTGCAGTGAGTAATATTATGCGTACATCTATGTGTATGTCTGCAGTTATATAATGATGTGTTTGAGGATTGGTATAAATTGGTTGGATGGATTTTATTGGTGCATGGTCACCTTGACTAGCGTGGGTTATGGTGCGTTGGTACTAAAAAAGAAACATTAAAAATGGATTGTCTCTTATTCTTTATGGTTGCTCGGGTGGAAAAAGTTCTTAATCGCATTCATTGTTAGTGGTAAGATGGTTGCACCAAAAAGGATGGTACATCAATATTGTTTTGGCAAGGATTGGAGTAATATTCTTGGTTGGATTTGGGGTCGTTGCAATTCGTTTTATTGAGGCCATTGCTGGGTAGGTGCTTTTTATTTGTCAGATGCCTCGATTACAACAGTTTGGTATTGGTATCACAATTTCAAAATAATTGGGAAAAAGTGGTTTGTAGTTGTCTGGTTATTCTTAAGCACCAGTGTTTGTTGAATGCCTAATTTGACTACAATTTGTATGTATTAAATTTTTTAAGTCATAGATTATTAAGTACATAAATCAAGTGTTTATAATTCTTTCTCTAATTTGAACATTATTGTAGTTAGATGTTTATTAAGTCATCAAATCTATCACGAAACTACATTGTTGGCATCTCTGTAGTTAATTTTAACCCAATTTCTTCATTTTAGGACCGCGCAAGAAAAAACTGTGCCCATCGAGTTTGAGACAAAGTCAAGAAGTTCTAGAAGTAGATGATGAACCACCAGTTAATCAACACCTCCATTTCCACTGAGTACAGCAGTGAGTAACGTTACGTACATCTATGTGTATGTCTACGGTTATATAGTGATGTATTGGAGGATTGGTATAAATTGGTTGGATGGATTCTATGGGTGCACTGTGACCTTGACTAGCATGGGTTATGGTGAGTTGGTAGTAAAAAAGAAACATTAAAAATGGATTGTCTCTTGTTCTTTATGGTTGCTAGGGTGGAAAAAGTTCTTGATCGCATTCATTGTTAGTGGTAAGATGGTTGCACCAAGAAGGATGGTACATCAATATTGTTTTGGCAGTTATTGGAGCAATATTCTTGGTTGGATTTGGAGTCGTTGCAATTCGTTTTATTGAGGGCATGACATTGTTGATGCTTTTTATTTGACCGATGCCTCGGTTACAATAGTTGGGTATTGGTATCACCATTTCAAAACAACATGAAAAAAGTGGTTTGTAGTGTTCGAGTTATTCTTAAGCACCCGTGTTAGTTGAAAGCCCAATTTGACTACTATAGGTACATAATAAATTTTTTAAGTCATTAAATTTTTAACTACATAAATCATGTATTTATAATTATTTTTCTAATTTGAACGTTATTGTGGTTAGTTGTTGATTAAGCCATCAATTCTAACACGAAATTGCATTGTTGATATTTTTGCAATTAATTTAACTCAATTTCATCATTTTAGGTCAGCGCAAGAAAAAACTATGCCCATCGAATTTGCGACAAAGTTAAGAAGTTCTAGAAGTAGATGATGAACTACAAGTTGGTCAACAAGCACCTCTAGTTCCACTGAATACGGCACTGCATAATGTTACTTACATCTATGTGTATGTTTGGGGTTACATGGTGATGTATTAGAGGATTAGTACGAATTGGTTGGATGGATTCTATGGGTTCATCGTCACCTTGACCACCTTGGGTTATGGTGAGTTGGTAGTCAAAAAGAATGATGAAAAATAGATTGTCTTTTGTTCTTAGTGGTTTTTCGGGTGGAAGAGGTTCTTGATCGTATTCATTATTGGTGGTAAAGTTGTTGGACTACAACGGATGGTACATCAATATTGTTTTGGCAGTGATTAGAGTAATGTTTTTTGTTGGATTTGGAGTCGTTGCAATTCGTTTTATTTTGGGCATGGCAGGGTATATGCTTTTTATTTGTCAGATACCTTGGTTATAACAGTTGGGTATTAATATCACCATTTCAAAACAACAGGGAAAAAGTGGTTTGTTGTGTTCTGGTTATTCTTAAGCATCAGTGTTAGTTGAATGCCCAATTTGACTACTATAGGTATATACTAAATGTTTTAAGTCATAAATTTTTAACTACATAAATCAAGTATTTATAATTCTTTTTCTAATTTAAACATTATTGTAGTAAACTGTTGATTAAGTCATCCAATTTAACAGGAAACTGCATTGTTGACATCTTTGCAGTTTATTTTAACTCAATTTCATCGTTTTAGGCTCGCGCAAGAAAAAACTGTGCCCATCGAGTTTGAGACAAAGTCAGGAAGTTCTAGAAGTAGATGATGAGCCCCTAGTTGGTCAACAAGCACCTCTATTTCCACTAAGTACGGCAGTGAGTAACATTACTTACATCTATGTGTATGTCTGGGGTTATATGGTGGTGTATTGTAGGATTGTTATGAATTGGTTGAATAGATTCTATAGGTGCACCGTCACCTTGACTAGCGTGGGTTATGGTGAGTTGGTAGTCAAAAAGAAATTGTCTCATGTTCTTTGTGGTTGCTCGAGTGAAAGAGGTTCTTGATTGCATTCATTATTAGTGGTAAGGTGGTTATACCAAAAGGGATGGTACATCAATATTGTTTTGGTAGTGATTGGAGTAATATTTTTAGTTGAATTTGGTGTTGTTGCAATTCGTTTTATTGAGGGGATGGCATGGTAGATGCTTTTTATTTGTCAGATGTCTCGATTACAACAGTTGGGTATTGGTATTACCATTTCAAAATAACAGGAAAAAAAGTGGTTTGTAGTGTTCTGGATATTCTTAAGCACTAGTGTTAGTTGAATGCCCAATTTGACTACTATAAGTATATACTAAACTTTTTAAGTCATAGATTTTTTAACTACATAAATCAAGTATTTGTAATTCTTTTTTTAATTTGAACATTATTGTAGTTACCTGTTGATTAAGTCATCAAATCTAACATGAAACTGCACTGTTGACATCTTTGTAGATAATTTTCACCCAATTTCTTCATTTTAGGCTCCGTAAGAGAAAACTGCGAGTTTGAGGCAAAGTCAAGAAGTTCAAGATGTAAATAATGAATCACCAGTTAATCAACAAGCACCTCTATTTCCACTGAGTACGGCAGTGAGTAACACTACTTACATATATATTTATGTCTGAGGTTACTTAGTGATGTATTGGCGGATTGGTATGAATTGGTTGGATTGATTTTATGGGTGCACCATCACCTTAACTAGCGTGGGTTATGGTGAGTTGGTAGTAAAAAAGAAGCATGAAAAATGGATTGTCTCTTGTTCTTTGTGGTTGCTCGAGTGGAATAGGCAATTCGTTTTATTAAGGGCATGGCTAGGTAGATGATTTTTATTTGCAAGATGCTTCGGTTACAACAGTTGGGTAATTGTATCACCATTTCAAAACAACAAGGGGAAAGTGTTTTGTAGTGTTCTAGTTATTCTTAAGCACCAGTGTTAGTTGAATGCCCAATTTGACTACTATAGGTATATACTAAATTTTTTAAGTCATAGATTTTTTTTAACTACTTAAATTATGTATTTATAATAGTGTTTCTAATTTGAACATGTCAAAAGTGTTTGTGATATGACATTAATTTGTAGGCATGATTGACGCATCTCGGCCCAAGAAAGAGTGTGTCAAGTGCAGGAGCATCAAATGTTGTAAGTTTCTATTATCTACCACTATTATTTTAGTTTCTATTGTTTACGTGAGACTATCTACTTGTAACTTTCTAGTGTCTTTTGCTGTTGGGACATAAATATACGGCACTCTCTAGAAGGGGAAAACAAAGGAAGGAAGACGATCCATAATGAAGTGGCATCTTCCCAAGTTGCGTTGGACAGTGGAAACTCTTTCCACTGAATAAGTCATTTTGTGTGAGCATTGCTGTAGTGTTTGAACAAGGTGCGTTGCAGGATAGTTTCTGGTTTCCACTGTGGTTCCCAAAGAGGTGAGATTGGGTACAGATCAGGGGTTATAGTGATGTTGGTTCCAAGTTTCTTTTTTAGGGAAAAAAAACATGAAATACTAGATGGATTTTTTTGGTCAGTGGCAGTTGAAGGCAATAAGCGACCTCTCCCATATGAGCAAGCACCTTTAATGGACTATTAAAACGTGTGGAAAGCTTGTGAAAATTGCATGTAGCCACTGAATGTTTGCAGTAGTCTTGGACGCGGAGAAAGACAGTTGTCAACCAAAAAAGTGGCGTTCTATTATATGTTTGTCAACATACACCTGTAGGGGTCTTTTTATTCCAGCAGCCTGATGAATGGGCTTGGGCTACCGAAAAGAGAAACCGGTGAAATTACCCCATGTGCCTGAGTTCAAAAATCAAACCCCAAGAATGCTTCGGAAGGGTAGTGAAACCTTAGGAAACACCTTGGTTACCTTCACCAACAAAAATAACAAGAGCTTACATATAGATTCTTAGCTTGGCATGAGAAGCTTGTGGCATGGGAGCAAAACAATCGTGAGTTTAGCATAAACAGATAGAGAGCTGTGAGTTCTTATGAAAGACAGGGGTTTTAAGGAAAGGGGGAAGGGATTCTAAGAGGGTTTGTTGAGGTGGGAGAGAGATGGGAGAAATATTTAGTGTGTTGAGTAGTTTCTGGCAGCTGGACGAAAACTCTGTCAAGTAACAGAACAGTGTGCCATGAGGGAAAAATAGAGGGAGAAGGATGAATAGAGCATGAAATTGCTGGGTTTTGGGAGCAAGAGAGGAAGCTTGCTCTTTGGATGTGGATCGAGTGAATTTCCAGTTGCTTGACGAAGCTTGGTCGCACTCTGGATGATGATCTTTGCTCGATAGAGGAAGCTCCCTTTTATAGGCACTTAAAACCCTAATTCTGTCAATCCTCCATTCCCACTTTTCCTTTGCTTCTTTCCATTCACTCCACTTTGGTGAAATTTCTTTAGCCATAGTGGATGGGTCACAGGCTCTTTGGGGTTCCAAGGTTTCTATGAGGCTAGACCTTCCCATGGGGATAAGGCGCCACCTGCTTTTCTTCTTGGTTCCCCCTTAGAGCTCGCAAAGGAAAGGAGAATGGATAGAGCTTTTGCCTAATGGGTATTCCTCCTACACGTATGAATTCCCTTTGGTTTTTCTGATGGATTGCGTTGGGTTTGTCTTTGGCCATGTGCTAGAGTCTCCTAGTAGCCTAAGCGTACAAACATCTCCTAGTTTCTATTGTGTTTTTATTTCAAACCATGCGCTGGAGAATTTTTGGATATTTTCTAAGCTATTTGGGCCTTCCTAAGGTATTGGGTCATCTCTTCTAGAGTGTTGGGCTTTTTTCTCTCCTTTATGCTTACCCACATATTTGGGCTCAAGAAATGGGCTTGAGTTTTGGGCTCCCAAACAACCCCAAACTTCCATTTCTCGGCTCATCAATGGTGTAACACCCCGACTCCAAATTTATCTCCTGTTTTAATTAATTTGAGTGAAATTAAGAATTTACCCGTGGGATAGGGGTATTTTAGTCATTTTATTACCCGGAAGGAATTTGGGAATTTCGGATGTACCGTTGCGTAGAGCACGGCGAGATGAGTTCGTAGACACGTAGTAGGCTTGAATCGGAGTTGTAACGAGAAAGTTACGATCGAATGAAACTCAGTGGCACGATCGTAAATATTTGGAAAAGGGATTTTTGATAAAAAGACGGAACTGCCCCCGTCTCTCACTCACTCTCTCTCTCTCTCCCGCGCGTCCCTTTCTCTCTCTCTCCTCTGGTTCGCGACGGCCGAAACAGCCGGCCACGTTTTGGCCGGCCGTGCTCTCGTCCGGCCACCAAAATCGACGGGGCCGGTACCAAAATGACCGGGTCGCCGTCCTCTTCCTACCCCAACCAGGTCCCGCCGCCAGCCGCCGTGATTTCGGCGGAAAACGAGGAGAAAAGCTCCAATTTTGACAGAAACTTCGCCGGCTTCGTTCTCCGTCGTCCGGCCACCGATTCCGGCAAGTGAGGTATGGTTTCTCACCTATTTTCCGAGCTCTAGCTGCCTGTTGGGTAGGAATTGATCGATTTGTAGCGTAGGCAACTCGATTTACGAATTGGGTTTCGGCCGGATTTCGGGATGAGATTCCGGCCACTTCCGGTCAGTTTTTGGGGTACGTCCAAGAACAAAAGTGACTCCAAATTAGGTGTTTTACCTAAGGTAGGAGTCTTGAGCCGTGATTTGTGGTTTTTCCGGCGATGGGTTATCGCTTTGGACACCCACGCGCTGCCGGCGTGTGTGACGGCGCGGGGGCACTGTAGCTGAGGGGCATTTTTGTCCCAATGTGATCCTCTCGATGTCACGAGCGCGTAGGCGTGCTCGGATTTTAATTTGGTTACCGTTAGAGTCCCGAACGGATATCGCATATCGCGTATTTTTCGGGTTCGCTAGGTTTGGACCGTTGGATGGTCATGAAGTTATAATATGTTGATCTAAGTATTACCAGGATCGTGTAGGATTCGACGGATCGTAAAACGGAGTCCCGGATACTCCAGAAATGCCAACCTTGGGGTTAGGGTTTTAGTAACCGTCCAATCCTGCGATCGTGAGCGATCCGACGGTCCGATCTGGACCAAACTTGCAGGACGAGCATCCTAGAGCTTGTAGAACCTATAGGGACTTTCGGATCGGAATTTGGAAGTGGTGGGCCCCGCAGGCCCGTTTGACCCTAGGTTGACCGTGAGACTTCCGAGATAGTCTTACCTTTATTTGAGGGTTAGAATGACCTTAGTGATAGGTCTTGAGCGTTGTTGAGTAAAATGGATATTGTGGGTTTAGGATATAAATTGGTGAATTTAAATGTGGGAGTTTATGGAATGTTTTATTGGTTGATGTTATTGTATGATTAGAAATTATATGATATATTTAATTAATTGTGTGGATGTATAATGATATATAAGGAGATTGAATGTTAGTTTACAGTGCTATACGCACTACCCCACGTACCCCCCATATTGTGATTATGTTGAGACCTTTAAACCCGTGATGGCTGGTGAGAATGTAGCCAGGCCCAAGTGACAATATGATGGCTGGTGAGAATGTAGTCAGGCCCAAGTGAACAATGTGATGGCTGGTGAGAATGTAGCCAGGCCCAAGTGACAATATGATGGCTGGTGAGAATGTAGCCAGGCCCAAGTGAACAATGTGATGGCTGGTGAGAATGTAGCCAGGCCCAAGAGACAGTATGATGGCTGGTGAGAATGTAGCCAGGCCCAGTGTGAGGTCGCACGCGTCTTTGGATTAGCCAGCGTGTTGACAGACCCCATACGTGGCCGGGTGCGTCCCGACGTATGAGGGGAGATGTGATTGTGTGAGGGCTGGTGAGAATGTAGCCAGGCCCAGTGTGAGGTCGCACGCGTCTTTGGATTAGGACAGACCCCATACGTGGCCGGGTGCGTCCCGACGTATGAGGGGAGATGTGATTGTGTGAGGGCTGGTGAGAATGTAGCCAGGCGCAAGTGACAGTATGATGGTTGGTGAGAATGTAGCCAGGCCCAGTGTGAGGTCGCACGCGTCTTTGGATTAGCCGGCGTGTTGACAGACCCCATACGTGGCCGGGTGCGTCCCGACGTATGAGGGGAGATATGATTGTGTGAGGGCTGGTAAGAATGTAGCCAGGCCCAGTGTGAGGTCGCACGCGTCTTTGGATTAGTCGGCGTGTTGACAGACCCCATACGTGGCCGGGTGCGTCCCGACGTATGAGGGGAGATGTGATTGTGTGAGGGCTGGTGAGAATGTAGTCAGGCCCAGTGTGAGGTCGCACGCGTCTTTGGATTAGCCGGCCTGTTGACAGACCCCATACGTGGCCGGGTGCGTCCCGACGTATGAGGGGAGCTATGTGATTGTGTTTGGTGTGTTGTGGTGGATAAACCCTAGAATGTACGAATTTATATGGATGTAATGGTTTATTTGATATCAGGAGCCAGGATTGATAGGAAAGAGCTATGTGTGGCTTGATCCCTTAGTAGGGTACGTAGGCAGCCTGGGATAGCGCCTAGGTGCAGCCACGGCCTAGACACCACTTAGGTGGTTTTATCGTGTATGATGCGGACCTCGTGGTTGGTCCCGAAACTTGGTTGAATTGAGGCTTGTCCGGTGGACTGAGTGAGCGAAAGTGTGCATAGATAGATTTCGAATTGGATATGAGCATGTTTGATGCATGGAGTTATTTTAAAAGCAGTGTGAGTAGTTCTGCTAGAATCATTTGAAGGCTGGAGGCCATTTATGTAAATTACATGAGATTATATTGTGCGTGCTGCTGGTTGGGTTATAAAATGTGTTTTATGCAGGTGGAAATTTTGGGGAATGTTCAATTTACAGGGGAGACTCTGCCGAAATTTCAGCAGAAAGTCTCGTGCCCTGAATCCTCTCTGGTAAAAGAGGACATAGTTTTAAGGAGTAAACCCGTGTGGGTGTGATGCCGGGGTCTCCGCAGGGTTCGTCTCGGGTTCCTGGAAATTCGGGGCGGGTCCTGTCAAATGGGCCTCATGAAAGCTCGTTACCATCCATACCACAACCCACTCAAGCAAGCCCTGGGCATTTTACGTGGCTTGGGCCCACTTAAGTTTGTAGCGTGGCTAGTTGTAATAATAATGATTTTCCATTTGACATTGCATGTCGCTTGGTGTGCTTGAATTTTGTCGCTTTGAAGAAGGATATGACGCTTGATAATTAGCTTGGGCTCATAAAGCTAGTGCTTATTTCAACTCTTAGCATGACAGATTGCATATTTATTTGGCATGGCACGTGAGTCATGACTCGTGCGAGCGTGAATGACGAACTTTCGTGTGCTCCAAATCGGGTTTTTTCTTAATAAGGAATTGCATTGGGCCGAGAATTTATTTGGGTCTAACCCTGCATTTTTGAGCCTCAACAACACCTTCATACGATTCTGAGTAAGCAGAATTTATTGTTTCCATATTGCCAGGAGCAAATCATGAGCTATGAGGGTAATGTCAATGGCATGCACATATATAGATGAGTGTTGGGGGTGTTGGCCGTATGAAGCCTGAAATGAGGACATTTGGATAGTGGCTTGATATGTGGTGTTGTACCACTACTCTGCCCATGCCACATAGTCCAAGATTGAGATTTATCCCTCATTGTGTATCACAAATATTGCTCTAGAATTCAGTTTTCCACTTCTGTTTGGCCATCGAATTAAGGGTGGTAAGCTAAGCTGTGATGGAGTTTTGTTCCCAATATTTTAACAAAGGATTACAAAAACTGCTATGAAAAATTGGGTCACGATTTGAGATGATTTATCAAGGCATGTCGTGAAGTTTGAAGATGTTGGTGATGAAAACATTGGTTAGGCGACAAAATGGGCATACTTAGTTAGGCGATAACCAAGCACCATGATAATTGTTTTGCCTTTGGAAGGGGGAAGGCCTTCAATGAAGTTCATCCTTATGGATTGCCCCGCAGAGCCAGGGATGGGCAACAGTTATAAAGGACCAGGGGTGGATTTCTTCACATTGCTGACGTTGACAAATGTCTTAGGTGGAGATGAAGTGTTTGATATTTGATCGTATACCACGCCATTTAAAGCTACGTTGAATGTGGTGAAGTTTGCGGAGGTATCGGAGTAATCTGTTGTAATAGTGGCATGGAATTCCTCAATGATTTTGGGTCACCAATTAGCAATGAATGGTACAAACATTTGGCCTTTGTAAAACAAAGTGTCCCATGGTAATGAGTAACCTTTTGGAACCACCATAGAGTTGGTGTTGAGTTGTTGTACACTTGTTGTTGTGAGCGAATTAGTTAGGCATGCCTTTTAGAATGTTGGAGATCATTAAAGATTGGAGACGTGACGGCCATGAGATGCATCATTTCGTGTTTCCTAGAAAGAGCATTTGTTGTCCTATTTTGGGAACCAGGGGGATACAAGAGGATAAAGTTGTAACCTATTAGCTTGTGTAGCCATTTATGTTGCATAGGGGTTGTGATGCGGTGATTTGTAAGTATGTAGAGTTGCTGCTCAACAAGATAAGGCCTCCATTTTTTTCTGGCAAAGATAACAATCATCATTTTCATAAATCAACAAATTACGATTACGACCAGCCAACGATTTGGAGAGGACAACAATTAGGTGTGCCTCTTAGGAAAAAAACTGTGCCAAGTCCACAACGGGATGCATCACATTCTACCCTAAAAGTCTGGGAAAAATCAGGTAGAACAATCACCGATGCAGATGAAAGGGATGTTTTAAGAGCTTCAAAGGTTGATGTGGTAAAGGAGTCCAAGTAAAGCTATCTTTTTTGAGGAGTTGTGTCAATGGTGCAATAATGAGACCAAAGTTTCTCCCAAATTTACCGTAGTAACTCGCTTAGCCAAGGAACCCACGCTAGGACTTTGGAGTATATGGAAAGGGCCAAGAATTTATGCACTCAATTTTGCTTTGGTCTACAACTACCCCCTGAGCAATAAAGAGATGCCCCAAATACTCCATGCTAGATTGGGCAGTGATGAGATGCCTTAAGCTTTGGAAAATTGAAGTAGTATTGGACAAACCAAATGACATTACGAGAAACTCGTAATGTCTATCATGTGTTTAGAAGGTCTTCTTGTGAATATCATCTAAGTGCATTAAGATTTGGTGATAGCCTGAGCGTAAGTCAAGCTTGGTGAAGATGGTGGCACTGGTCCTTAATGATGATAGGAATTAATGAAGAAGGGTAATGTTTTAAGGAGGAATACCATTGGGTGAGGTGGTATGGGAATGTGCCACTCCTACAATTTGGAGCAAAAAACCATCTTTTTCGATATTGAGGGCGCGAGTCATTTCGAGGCTACTAATGATGGCAGGGGGTGGGCTAGAAAGCTCGTGCAAAAGGTGTTGGTGGCCCTTAACCTTAAAACCCATGACTTTGTTGTGGAAATCTCACTCAATTAGACCCAATGACTCAAGCCACTCAACTCCCAACAGTAAATCACATCTAGCAACATATAACAATTTGATATTGGTGGTCAAGGTGCAAGCCTTGATGTGAACTAACAAGTTGTGGACAGTCCCTCTAATGATAAGTTTTTTCCCATGAAGCAGTAAAAATGGTTTGGACAGAAAAGGTATCAATTAAAAGCCCCAATTGTTTTTCAATGGAGGGGTGAAGGAAGTTGAAGGTTGTCCATGTGTCCACCAGAATGTGAAGGGGAACTTGGTGGATAAGGCAATTAATCACATATTGCATGGAAAGTCAGGACCTATGATTGAATGGATGGTGAAGTCAACATCTAGCATGGAGGAGCTCTTGGGGAATTGGCTCTCAAGGGCAGTTATGGAAATCCAAAGTGTCCTCTTGTTCGAGTGCCTTAATGAAAGCGACCATTGGTTTAAGGCAGTAGTGACTCGACTTCTATCTTTCATCACAGTTAAAGAAAATGCCTTTGTTGCGGCGGTTTTGGGCCTCAGCTTGTGTAAAGCGGCAAGATGGGGTGGATGTGGTTAGGGAGGTGGGTTGGTTTGTGTTTGGAGAAGGTGGAAGGGCGAGTGTAAAAGGTGTGTTGGTGAGCTCGGCAGGTTTGTATTTTGGTGTTAATCCACAATGGTTGTTCAATAGTTCCATGCAATAGTTCAATTGAACTATTTTGTCATCTATTGAATTGAAATGTAGTTTTACTTGCAATGATACAGTTCAATCGCTTCATATCAATAGTTTTTTTTTTTATCAAATAAAAACTTCATTAGATAAACTTCAACGGTACAATCAAAGAAATCAACATGACATCTAAAATACCAATCCCAAGAGAGCAACAAACTAACTTGCTAAAAGCAAAACTAATGCGGACAAAAGCTGCACTGAAACTACTAGCCCACATCACCACAATTAGCCATAAGCCCAAACAAAGCCCAGAAACCCAACATAACCAAAACCCTAAATCAACCCATGAGTCTAAACAAACCCTACCACCACTACCTGAAGAAGCGTCGTCGCGGCCACACCCACCACCGCATCCATAACAGATTTGGGGAAAATATGATTTCCAGCGATCTACCTACACATAAGAGCGAACAAATAAATGAAAACAATACCTTTGCCAAAGAACAATTGGGTGATTTGCAGCAACCTCCGTCAAAGACAATGTAAAATCAAATTTAAAGAACATGAGTGGCGTTAGGGAGTGGGTTTTGGGAGTAGGATTTGATTGAGAATATAGACTAAAAGGAGTGATGGAGAACTTCAATCTAACCATGGCTTAGAAGAAATCACCACAAGAGGTTTTTTATTCAAACCACCAGTGGACTTATTCATCACTAACCTAAAAGGAAAAGACGAGAAGAGAAGAGGGGGAGGAGGGGCAATGACGCTTCTTCCTCCTCCCTCCTCTATGGAATTTTCCTTTAGGACTCACAAAGGGAGAGAGCGGCTAGGGTTTAACTAAGCTAAATCAATAGTTATATCTACTTAAATGTTTTTTTTACATACTCAAATAAAATAAAATGGATAAATTTAATAACACTAAAAATTGTACCATTGAAATATTCTCAAAGATATCTTTAAGAATATTTATTTTTAAATATTATTTTATTAGAATGTAGGTCCTATGGTTAGCCTATTGTAATTCAATAGAGTGTACATCACATAACACCCTATATTGCAATTGCATTTATTGCAATGAACCAAATCACACCATTTCAAGTGAGATTTGATTGTTTTGGTTCAATTTCATGAAATAAATGTAAAGAAATTATGGGACTTAAACATTTTAAATGTGTTGATGGCGGAATTGGCCTCCTCAAATAGCCTCTTCACTTTAAACTCTTCATTGTAGCCTCTCTCGTAGGGCCCATACCTAGTAAACGGGTCGTGTTGGTCGTGTTCATGTCAACCTGTATTTCTTAACGGGTTGACACAACACGATACGACCCGTTAAGAAAACAAATGAAAAATACCCAATAAGAACACGACCCGTTACAATTCGTGAATGACATGATTTCATCATCCGTATTTAATTTTTTTTTTTTTTTTTTTTTTTTTTTTTTTTTTTTTTTTTTAAGGCAAAAATAAATAAATAAATAAAACATCTGCCCTTCTCTATCTCTCTCTCTCCTTCACCTCCTCCCCCAATTTCCATCAAAGAAACCCAAACCCACCATGGCTGAAAACATAGTAGGAAGGAAATTAAGGGCCCGTTTGGTATCCTACTTGGATCCAATTTCATAAACTCAAAAACAGATTTGCCCCAAAAAGCTGTTCGGTAGGCCCATTTTTAAAAACTCAAACCCAAAAAAAATTCAAAAACACCCTTATTTTACAGTTTTTGCTCTCTCTCTCTCTCTCTCTCTCTCTCTCTCTCTCTCTTTTGTGCACCACCAAAATTGATTGGGTTTATGCCTCACATCTTTTTCCTTTTCTTTTGTTAATTTCAATTTGGGGATTAGGGTTTATGATTTTATGATTTTAATTTTAATTTTTTTTAGATCTTAAAACTAGTTTGGAGTTTAATACAAAACAAGTTTTTAGATCTTAAAATCACTATTTGAAAACTCAAGTTTTTAAAAATAATCATAGTCTTTCAGTTTACTTTTTGGAGTAGGATACCAAACTGAGCCTAAGCAATTCATTAAATTTGAGTGGGAAGGAAATAAAAGGGATTCATTAAGTAAGTCAGGTTGTCAAAACCGAAGAATTCAAATTAGGGTTTGCGAGACATTGGGAAATTTACGTACTTCAAATTTGACTTTTAGCGAGAGAATATTCTCGAGCTGGGGCTAAAATGATCTTAGGGATTTCAACAACAATGAATAATAATAACACAATACAATAATGGGGTAGAATGACAAGGAGCAGTGAAAGGTTCGAACCCCCATTCTGGGAAGTTATAACTTTTTGTTAGTATAAATTACATGTAAAATTACAAAATTACCCCTCTTAATGGGTGGGTAGCCAACATTTGCGAATGGACACAACACAACCCGTTAACTTAACGAGTGGCCAACAGGTTCATCCATTTTCAACCCGATCTGTTAAGCCCAACCCGAATATTGTTTTTTTCATGAGAATTCATATAGTGTTAACAGGTCATGGACAATATTACCAGGACATCAAATCGGATTTCTTCTTTGAGTCAAGCACTTTTTCAATTGGGAATCTGACCATTCTTGGTCTCTGCATGCTAATTTGGTGAACAAAGTGAAACACTCTTCTAATAAACCGGTCTGTTGAATATGTGACAATCCCCCATGTCTGTAAGGCCAAAATGTTGAAGCAGTAGAGTGGTGAAGAGGGTCCTGTACTTGAGAAAATGTTACGCATCCATAGTTAAGCGTAGCCAGCTAGGTGAACAGCCGCCACAGTGACTTTATCTTCTTCGGGGATGCCATAATAGGCGAGCAAGTGTTCGGCTGAAGCCAACCGCCATAGGGGTCTTCACGGGCGAACTTTGTATTGGTTTGGTTTATTGAGATTTAATACCCCTTCGTGTTTCAATAAGAAATAAAAATATATTAACCATTTGTCTTGCTCCTCCTAGTTATTAAGAGCCGGTTTGATATTGCTTATTTAGGGTGATAAGTGATTTTATAAAAAATTTAGGAAGCCCAGCCTGTTTGGTAAACTATGAGAAAATCACTTATTGTTAAAAATTGCAATGAGAGATAGAATATAAGATAAAACAGCTAATGTATAGTGCTCTCATTTTCTTCATGATGTGGACAACTAGTAATAGTTTAATTTTGTTATGTATGACCTTGTAAATTATAATTATAATTACTCTGAATTAAATAAATTCGACCATAATAAATAAATAAATAAATCGGTCTAGGAAAAAAATACGTTTCAAATTAACTAACTAAAAGGTCATACATAACAAAAATTATACCACATCGATATCAGTCTACCAAAACACAAAGCAACGTAATTTACTCCAAAAAGAAAATTACAAGAGCTCTCTAGAATACAAAACGCAAAAGACTTAACATAAAAGCGGTAATAGCAAATCCAAGTTTTGAAAAGTTAAGAGTTGGAGCACTGCTGAGAGTTGAGCTTGGTGAAATCTCTTCAGGATGAGAGGCTGAAGGTGGTGAGAATCCATAAGGTGACGGACTTGGACTTGGGATCAAACTTTCTGGAACAGGGAGAGTGACCTTGATGTCAACCTTTTGTCCGGCTTGGCAATGGCCAGGAGCACCACAAAGAAAGTAATAGTGGCCAGGCCTTTTAAGGGTTACGGTGTCAGAGCCAGAGGTGTATGTTGAGATAGCAGATGCATTGCAAGATTGAAAGTCTTGATCAGAAACTTGCATCACGTTGTGGAATTGATTGTTGTAAGCAAAAATTAGCGTGTCGCCGACATGAAAATCTTTCATTGAAGCCCACTTGTTGTAATCAACAAGTCCTCTCGAAGTCCAGCCATCAGAGTCTCCAACTCTATAAACACCAGCAGAACAAGCACCACAAAAAGCCATCATCACAAGGAAAACAAGAGCAGCAATGTTTCTCAAAGCCATGACTGAAAAAGCACAGCAGACAAAAAACCAAGAGGAGCGAAAAACAAATTGAGAGTTGAAGAAGAAATCTCCAATTTTTCTTGTGAAATACTATGCACGACCTTGCATATATAGGCTGATTTTATCCTTGTCCAGTTCTGAAAAGGTTTCCAAAATAGAGAGGGCAATGTTATTACTAAAAATAAGGTACTTGAACTGACTTTCTATTATTTAATAAATTACATATTCCAGAAATTTGTTAAACAATGATTAAATTCTCAAAACTCTTCTGAGTTTATTTTTTATGAGCAAAAAAGCCCTGTTATTTTGGGTAAACATACCCTAGCTTGGATCACATGGTAATGCTTCAATTTTTATATCAATGTTCTACAAATTTTATTTTTATTTTTATTTTTTACATTAGTGTTCTAGAATTCTATGTTATCCCATCTTGGTTGTTTCTTAAGGAAGTTAAGGTTCCACCCCAAAATCAATTGCAATTGGGGGAATAGTCCAACTCCTTATAAACCCTTTCAAGGTAATCTAACTTTCCAATGTGTGACTTTTTCTTTACCTTCACATTTTCACACGCCCCGCATGTGTGACCTAACACGTGGGCAATACATATTGGGTGACCTGGAGCACATGTGACCGTTGGGCTTTCCATGTGGGCAACTTGGCTCTGACATGAAGAAAGTTGAGGTTCCACCCCAAAATTAATTGGCAATGGGGGAGTAGCCCAACTTTTTATAAGCTTTTACAATGTTTTCAAACTTTCCAATGTGAGACTTTTTTTACCTTCACATTCTCAAAGCTTTCACTCCCTTCACTCTTGAGTGTTTTTCTTCAATTTTTAAAATTTCTTTCTATTTGGGTGTTTTTGAAAACACATTCTTTGGTGGGGTTGTTGGCTAAATCCTTCTTCTTCTTCTTTTTTTCAAAGATGTACACTTTACATCATAAGACTACTGACGAGTTACTAAGATCAGATATATGATATGACTTGGAAATGGAATATTAATGGAAAACTTCGATTTATTTTTAATTGACTTTCTTATGAATGGTGAATTGTTGAATGATCAAGTAATTATACTTGTGTGATTCTTTAAACATGTATATACAAAAAGTGATTTTACTCAATTTCTTTCTGATCTGATAGGAACTTTATATAGTTTGATTTTTATGTTTTTCCCATTGTGCCAATATTGGTCTAACTAGCCTGCAATTTTCATGCATGGGATTAGCATGATTAACGTATATACAAAGACGCCTTCAACCATAACTACACATTTACTTAGAGTTTTATTTTATTTTTTATTTTTTTGTACTAAAGGAATTCATTTAAACTAACTAAATAAAACTTCATACATAACAAAAATTATCTACCCACAATTAGTACCACATCCGTGGACCAAAACACAAAGCAACCTAATTTACTCCAAAAGAAAATTACAACAACTTTCTAAAACACAAAACCCAAAAGACCTAACATAAAAGCAGTAACAGCAAATCCAAGCTTGCAAGAGTTCAGAGTTGGAGCACTGCTTAGAGTTGACCTTGGTGACATCTCTTCTTGATGAGAGGCTGATAGATGAGGATCCATAAGGTGATGGGCTTGGACTTGGGATCAAACTTTCTGGAACAGGCAGAGTGACCTTGATGTCAACCTTTTGTCCGGCTTGGCAATGGCCAGGAGCACCACAAAGAAAGTAAAAGTGGCCGGGCCTTTTGAGGGTGAAGGTGTCAGAGCCAGAGGTGTATGTTGCGATAGCAGACGTAGCATTGCAAGATTGAAAGTCTTGATCAGAAACTTGCATCACGTTGTGGAATTGATTGTTGTAAGCGAAAATAAGGGTGTCGCTGACGTGAAAATCTTTCGCTGAAGCCCACTTGTTGTAATCAACAAGACCTCGTGAAGTCCAGCCGTCAGAATCACCAACCCTATAAATAGCACCAGAACAAGCACCACATAAAACCATCATCACAAACAAAACCGAAGCAGCAATGTTTCTCAAAGCCATGACTGAAAAAGCAGAGCAGAAGGAAAAAACAAGAGGAGCAAAAAACAAATTGAGAATCGAAGAACAAGGCTCAAATTATTTTTCTGTGCGAAAGGGACAATGCACGACCATGCATATTTATAGGGGTGTGTTTTTATCCTTGTCCATTGCTGAAATGGTTTCCAACTACAAGTTGTAATAGGACATGTAAAAAAGGCCCAAGGCTGATTTGAGGCCCATGGGTCAGGCCCATTAAGAGACTAAGGCCCATACAAAAACTCCACCTACAAATCTAAGCACCACCAAATCAGATCAAAAGTCACTCCAATTTTCTCGCGTTTTCTCACCAAATTTTCCTTCTTCTTCGTCTTCCCCAATGGCCACCACCTCGTTCCTCTCGAGCTTGAAGTACTCAGACGGCCTAACAGTGGTGGGCATCTCGTTCTGCACCGCCATAGTCTGCGAGGCGATCTCATGGGTCCTCATCTACCGCACCAACTCCTACAAGTCCCTCCGCTCCTCCATTGACAAAGCCGCGAAGAAGCTCGAGACCATGAAGACCGATCCGGCCATCAAAATCGCCAAGAAGTCCAAGACCAAGAAGATCGACCGGGTAGAGACGAGCTTGAAAGAATCGAGCCGCGACCTCTCGCTCTTCAAGTTCAAATCCGGCGCCGTCGTCGCGCTCGTGCTGTTCGTCGTCTTTGGGCTGCTCAACTCGCTGTTTGAGGGGAAGGTGGTGGCCAAATTACCGTTTAAGCCCTTTGGGTTGGTGATGAAGATGAGCCACAGAGGGTTGCAAGGGGAAGATTCGACGGACTGTTCGATGGCGTTTTTGTACTTCCTCTGCTCGATTAGCATTCGGACAAATTTGCAGAAGTTCTTAGGCTTCTCGCCTCCGAGAGGTGCCAGTTCCGGGTTGTTCCCCATGCCCGACCCGAAAACCAATTGATGGGTCCATGGCTCGGGGCTCCACTGCACACTGGGTTTGTTCTAAATCTTAGTTTTACTTATTGCTAGGTTCTCATTGTTATTGTTCTAATTAGTGTTGTAGTTCTCTAATGACAATTAAGTTGAATTTGAGCTGCTTTATAATTTTCTCATCATTGGGTCTCTTAAAAAGAGACGAATTTTACTCCTTTCGTTATTCTTTTTCATTTGTTTCAGTGAATTGCATGATTTCAGGTCCTTTATTAACAAAGATTTTAAAGTTTTTCAGTGATTAGTTGAGATGGGAACATTTTCTATGTAGTAGAAGATGCTCAAAATGCTGCTATTTTGAACTAACTTCATTTCTGTCAGTTCTGTGCCAATGAGTATAAATAGTTCTTACGGGTCAACTTATGGGTTGCTCAATGTATTTACTATGAATCTGAATCAATTGAAATCTGTTCTTTAGTTATGTGAAAGTTTTTGTTAATGAAAAGTATAATTGAGTCTCCTTATGTTTCTTTCACCCTTTGGGTTTCCTTTTATAAGCTTGTGTGTGTTTTGTCCTAATCTCTGGAACTGGATTCTTTCTCTTGAGTGCTGTGTTTAATCGTAGTTGTCATAGTCATTGTAGTTTTAGCCTTGTATTTTGAATGAGTTGTTTCGTTGAACACGATCAACAACGCTTTTCTTATATTCTTAAACCAAAATGTCTGCAACATTTCCATGAGAATTCTAAACAATGACCTACAATGGTTTGCACAATTTTTTCATGTTCGTCGTCGTTACGGTTTCACTTTTTGAATTGATTCTTGAAGAAGTAATACAAAAGGATACAGACACACACATGTATTTGGGTACCATAGTGCATAAATTCTGGGTATCTATGTCCACTTTTCGGCATTTGCTGGGGGGATATGCTAGGTTGCTTAAGAGGCAAGGTTTGGTTTTAAGGCCTACTCCGGTTGCAGCCTGTTTAGATTTATAGGAAAGTGGAATGATGGCGTGAGAGTTTGTATGATTACTTATGAGAGTTTCATTGTTGATAAGAGTTGCAGACCAGGACTCTTCATGATCAGCCTAAACTCAACAGGAAAACAACCAGAAACAGGAGAGTCTATTTCTAGTATTAAGAATTTTTGCCATCCAATTGTGGCACTATTTTTGCATTCCCAACCTTCTGTCAAATATTATTGGTTATTTATATTAGAATTTGCTGTGTTCAACGAGAGCAAATGGTGGGCAAAGAAATCTAGCCAATAATAATATAAAAAAACAAGATGTAGGATATAAAAGGTATGATAGAGAACAAAGTCTAGTATAATTAAAATCATGGTTTGTAGATAAGTGATCTCATATTCGAATTCCTGTGGTACCTTGATAGTGTGTGTGAGAAACTCTCCTCCTTCAATATCGCTTGTATAAAAAATAAACATTATTTTAATATTCTTGTTAAAAGTAAGAGCCCAAGAAATTGAAATGGACTTCTAGAGTATCATCATCCATGCTTTCCCTTTTCTTGTCTTTGTGGGCCTCAAGAGAATTGCAAGTAAAGGCACCAAAAGTGTTCTCCCGACCCATACATGAAGGCACACTATTAAGGATTTCTGCAAATTCTTATGATCAATTGCTAGCTTAGTACTTTTAACTGCATATCCAATCTTTCCACATCATCTCACAAATCGTAAGTACCATTTCTACAACTAGCTTGTAGACAAAAGAATTTGAAGGCCGTTGTTAGAAGGTTCTTTGTGGCATTTATGGCATCTTTTGGAGTAATGTAATATATTGGCAATTAATTAGAGGGTGCGTGGTGAAGGAAAAAAAAAATCCAAGCAGAGCTCAGCATAGCTTAAGTTTGAGGCTAACTTTTCCTGTGAGTTGGGCCAACGCAGTGGCAAGTCTTGTAGTTCAGTTAGAGAATCACATCTTGTGGTTCACCTAGAACCAGACATTTTGATTAGGAGGGGTTTACTTAACAAGTCAACTAATAGTTAAACCAAGTGAAGATAGTCTTGCGGCTGTTTTAATAGATTCACATTCGAACACTAAGAATATTATACACAGCAAGGGGCTTGTAGCTCGGTGATTAAGAGCATTTACCATTGCACCTGAGGTCTTAGTTTGGCTGTTTCAATATGTTGGTATATTAATGAAATCAGTTGAATGAAAGAGGAATAAGCCAAACTTGTTTGGTTACATTCACTTAACTCCTGCACACTCACCCGAGGGTCTGACTAAACCTCTTAATGAAATCACTTTAAAAAAAATTGGTATAAACAAAGAAGATGATCTATTCAGAGGAACCCCGGCCGATATATGGTTGATGGAGAGAAACTCTTGAGTTTTGTGTAACACAATATAATTGCTTAAAGAGAGAAGCTTTCTCACACTGTGTTGCTTAAAGACAAAAGCATTTGAAGGCCGTTGGATGCATCAGATAGCATTTATGTCTATCCTCTGGGCAAGTAATATTAGAAATGAAGAACGTGGCGAAGTAAAAATCCAAAACCAGATTTGCATGGCTTAAGCTTGAAGCTAACTTTTTCTGTGGGCAGGGCCAACGGAGAAGCAAGTCGTGTACTTCAATTAGAGAACAAGACATCTTAGTTAAGAGTGAAAAACGTGACCAAACCCTACACTTGAAAAGGTTATGCAAAAAGTTATTGTGTGAATCTAGACGGAGTAATCTAGAGAAGGGAGATGTTATTTGCACTTTAAAATAAGACTTCATTTTTAAAAAAAAAAAAATTAATAAGGTTATTCTAAAAATAAATAAATTCTCGATATATTGTTCAAACGCAAAAAAATAATAATAATAATAAAGGGAAGTGTTTGAAATGCACCTATACATTTGAAACTTGACCACATTATCTGAAAATTACAGTGTACAAAACATTCACCCCTTCTCAATTTACCCTTTGCCAAAGTGTTCGTTGAGGACATAGGCATTATATTGCCTGTATTCATGAAATTTGTTGACTGAAATAGGAAGGAGACAAACTTGTTTGGTTATATTCTCTTAACTCCATACATTCACCCGAGGTGATAATTTAGAATCTTATTTATGTGTATTAAGACAAGAATACTTCTCTCTTTTTCTAGTACAACTCAAGCACATGAGCATTGAGAGGCCTTTTGAAGTAAACCACTGGCAAGAGCATTGAGATTCTTTTCAATTTGAGATGTATATGATGAAATTGGGAAGAATAATATTCTAAGATGGTAATTTTCAAAAACCCTCCAACCATCTAATCAGTGTTGTTGTTTTCCAAAAGTTCAGAGAAAGAGAATATATGTACATGTTGAGAGTATACAAATGATATTGAGCTTTTTTTCCCCATTTAAAATTGGTGTTGGGCGACTCACATTTTATGTGTTAGGCCCAATGACCACACATGTTTCCATGTCACTGAATATGAATTGTCCACGTGTTTGGCATGAGCGAATATGTTGAGAGAGTGTAAATCTTTGCATAAGAGTTTAATGATCTTGGGTCACTAATTAGTTTTAGATTGGATGATCACATTCTAAAAGTACACATATCATCGATCCCGATTGCAATAGGGTTTTTTGGGTATTCATTTAACATGGCATGATCTACCGTGGCTGACTTACGTTCCCGGACAATGCAATTGTATCCTTTTATAGTTTGATATTAATGTTAAAAGGTTCACATCAGTTGGTGTCCAAAAATTGGTATAAGTAGTGATGTCCCTAGTATTTCTCCCAATAAAACCATGATTTTTGAGAAACAATTACTACTAGTATTTAATGATGATGATGTTCTTTTTAAATTATTTTAAAATGTATAATAACAATTTTAATCTTTAATAAACCTTTTTTTTTTTTTTTTTTTTTTTTTTTTTTTTTTTTTTTTTTTTTTGGCTTATCAGATTATCAGATTTTTATTTGTTTCTTTCTTGTGTAGATGTGTGTGTGTGTGTATATATATATATATATATGTTAATTACTTCAGGATAATGAATGAAACCAATCTGAGCTTTTAAACTAAGTATTTATATATGTTAAATAAGTTAATTTATTTTACATATATTTAGGATATTTCCTTATACAATTAGGGCTTTAATACTTTCCTTATTCTTCTATATAAACCTCCTTATCGAGAAAAATACATATAATACAGAAAATTCCCCAAATATTTTAGCAATATAAGGCTACATATCTACAAGCAGCCTTGCTATAGCACACAATTCCTACACCGTACAATTAGCAGCTGGCTTTGCCGTGTTGAGTCTCCAGCAAGTGAAGCCGAAGTTATATACATTACATTAGTCTGTTTTTCTTGGTGGAACCCAGTTTAGTCTCTCTCTCCTCGCCGTGTAGCCCACGTGTCATGACGCCAACTCACCCCTAACGCATGCAGCTTGTACAACTCTTCACTTCTCCTCCCACGTTTGGCTTCAAACCCTAACCCAGACCTCATCTTCAGCTTCAAATTAGATTCCTTACCAATTTACATTAACCCCTTCCTTAATTCAAATACTAAAAGACCCAAAAACCCCTCACTTTTAACCCAGTAGGGCCCACCCATGCAACCCTTAATTAACCTATACCTTTCCCCTTTATATGCCCTCCTCCTCCTCCTTCAGTAAGTGCTAGCTAGTAACCAAGCTCCATAGCTCACCTCTTTCTATTATCTCTCTCCTTCCTTCTTCTTCTGGCCTTCTAATTTCTTTCCCATCTCAAAAAACCAAAATGTTTAACCCTTACAGGTCCTCAGCTCAAAGCTCAAGCACTGCCCCAAACCTCCCAATCACCGCAAATACCCCAATTACTCCATCAACGGATTCAATCCCAATTAGGTTTCCCTTGTCACCAGTTCTTGGTGCATGCCTCAGCTTCCATACCGTTCAGTCTGGTGATTCCTGCAAGTACTCATGTACTTCTTGCGACAAGGTCTTCTCCACCACTCAGGCCCTCGGAGGCCACCAGAACGCTCACCGCAAGGAGCGGAATGCGTTGTTTGCTCGCGAGCAGCAGCGCGCTGCCGAAGAAAATGACAGGGACGGAGATGTCGTTTTGTCTCCAGACCCTGTAAGATGGGCATACCCAGCTGGTTATTATTACGTTGATGCTGAAATCATCACCACCACCACAACCTCCGCCATCAATACCAACAACAACAACAACAACAAGAAGATGTGTGAATATGAGTTCTTCCATTTCATGGGAATGGCAGGGGATTGTAATCCAAAACAGGCTGGGTTCGGGTTTGGATCGTCATCCGGTGGCGGTCATGGTGGTGCTTCTGGGTCTGGAACCAAGCGGCGGCCTCCTGCAGGTGATGGTGATGGGGCTGACCAGAAGAAGAAGGCTAAGTATTATGAGGAGGATGATGATTTGAAGGTAGTGATGCCTAGTATGAACCTGAGCTTGGCAACAAGATGTAGTTGTGATGATCTGATGGATGAGATTGAGGGTTCTGATTCTGATTTAGAGTGGGAGGATGGGGAGTACATGTACTTTTATCAAGGTGGTGGTGCAAGTACTCCCAAGACTGAAGATCTGGACTTAAGTCTCAAACTCTAATAAGTCAATATTAGAGTGTTTGTCTCTCTCTTTCCTCAATGCTCATGTGCTTGAGATCTATGTACACACTCTGCTTAAAGAGTGTAGCAAGGAAGTTATTTTTGAGGTGCGACTAATAATTCCCTAAAAATAGTTCAGTGTATGTTAGGGCAGGTAGTGAGGGAGAGAGAAGAGTAGCAGCTTTAGCTTTAGCTTAGCTTTGTTCTTTATCTTAATAATGTCTTACCATTTTATTTTTTCTTGTTGTTGTCGCCAGTGATGCTTACAGACGATGTATTAGGAGAGTTGATCTCCTCAAATGAATTCAAATTTGTAATTGTAAGACATCATGGAGTATATGTTAAAGTAGCCTTCTTCTTGTTCGTAACTGCTGTTTTCATCTTATTTATGTGCGTGTGCTGTTTTCATCTTATGTAAGTTCATTAATAGGCAGGCCGGATGCAGTGCTTCTTACTGGCAATCAATTAGCAACGGTAGCTAGAAGAGTCTTGGACTTTTCTTTTTCTTTTTGTTAACTCCGCCGAGCAACCGAGCAAAAGAGATGCATGGCATTGGCAACCCTTTCTGTGCTGGCTGTCTATTATTTTGCCAAGTCAGAGTTTGTCGTTTGGTCTATTAGATCTAAGTGGAATGTTCTCTCTTTGTTCAGAAAAATGGTTTTCATTTCAAGATTAATTATAACCACATTTCGCTTCTGGGATTCTGCTCTGGCTGTGGTTCCTGAAATTTCATCCTTTTTTGGTAAATACTGGCTGTTGATGTTTATTTGAGCCTTTGATTAGAAAAAATGTGTTAAGTTTATGTGCAGTTTTGTCACAGAAGATTTATATTTTTATAGTTTATAACAATATATAGACAATCTTTCTTTTTTGATCGAAACAAAAGGGTTTTGGCAATCACAATACCGTTTGGCCCCTAATATAGCGATGTTCGTCACCACTTTAGGCATTGACGATACCGGATCATTTTCTTCACTATAATAATTTTTGCAATAAAGGGAAAGTTCCTTGCAAAAAAATTGAAATCAAATATGGTTATTATCATTCCTAGGTTTAACCTAGAAATCCAATCTGAAAGTTTGATTCAAGTTTCAACTATGGCCAACAACAAAAAAACTATATGTACATTCCAGCTAATAGTTAAATAAGGTTCTTGATTGAATCAAGTAGTCCTAAAATAGTTTCATATTGTTTGTGATATAAGTCATATGTGATCTTATGTTATATGATATATTTCACTTGTTGTATGATAGGATTATGTGCAGTATATTAGTGTCTAACACAATTCGACAAACGGCAGAATAATGAATGTTTTTAAAAAAATTTAGGTGCACTATATATTAGTGTTGAACGGCTATGCGACATCACACTCACAAAATAATTAATGCTACAAAAAATTTAGGTACTATATTTGTGTTAGATGCAATGTGACAACGCTTCATATACTTATCCTGTGTATCATGTTTGTTGACAAATTATTTGATTCTCGATAAGTGTCAGATCGAGTATATCAGAGGCAATGAGATAGCATCTTGACAAAATAGTTGATTGTCCAAAATTTTCTAGTGCATATATATGCCACAAGCAATGCGGCAACATCCCGACAAAGTAGTTAATTCTCCAAAAGTGTCAAGCATTATATTAGTGTCAAACGCAATGCAACAACGTCCTGACACGTTGATTCTCCAAAAGTTTCTGGTGCAGTATATTTCTATTGGAAGCAATGCGACAACATCCCGACAAATTATAGTTAATTCTCCAAAAGTTTCAAGCAGTATATTAGTGTCAGACGCAATGCAACAACGTCCCGACAAAATAATTTTTTATTCTAGAAGTTTCAAATGCAGTATATTAGTGTTAGACGTAATACGTCAGCCGGCAAAATAATTAATGCTCCAAAATTTGAGCCACAAGTCTATTTTGTACAATGTTTCACTTAGGAAAACATGTGCTTATACTTATATCCAGGGATTCTTAGCTCAACTTAAATCCCACCATGTTGCTACATATTTTTCGCTAGGAAATTCTATTGCACACAGATACTCTTATAGAAATTGGACATAAACTTTTTCGCGAGGAAATTAATGCTTACCATTTTTATTTTTATTTTTATTTTTGACAAATGCAATATTCTAAACTACTCTAATGTATGAGGAGGGGGATCGAACTTGGGTGCAAGTGGGTAGACACACTACGTACCTTAGTCAACTAGCCTAACCCACATATACTTTGTCCATTGATTGATTGACTTGATGGTATTGATTTCTCTATTAAAATTTTATGTAATATGGAAACAAGAAAATCATGTGACATGCCGAGAAGGATGACCGCCCTAAATACAATTCTCCCGAATTGGTTAGTATATGTTGCAATCAATTTATAGTTGTAGTTGTTGCTGCTAATCTTAACTATCTTGCAGTATAATAAGGGCAGATATCATTAAAGACAAGTATAAAGAGTCGAAGCTGGACTAGGAAAATCCAATGCCGCTAATACCAACCCAGAAACAACCAGCTAATTAAAATGCCATGGTAATAAAGCCTTCCCTCTAGATTTTCATTCCCAACTGGACCAACTTACATTCATACCAAAACCATGATCCGTTAAGGAAAGGTACAGAAATATAGGCGTTGTAATTCCAAAATCATCACCCTTTTCGAAAATTCATATATAGTATGTAATCAGCTAGTATACGTTTCACATATGAGGCTCATTCATTAAGGCTCTTTTTTCAATGTGATAAACTTTGTGTAATTGCAATTATATATGCAGATTCCTTTTAGAAAGTAAAAAACAAAAATCAAAGCTGTCTTAATGTGAAAGCACAAAACGAAAACTATGTGATTATCCAGTTTGCTCAGCTTTTTTTTGTCGCAAGTTTTTCTTAGGCTGGCTCAAGAAGTTCCTCGATCCCTTAAGGCACATACATAAAGCTCTCACAGGACCAAATCTGTCCAGAATCTCACTGCATTAAAAGTTCAAGTCCGTTCTCACTCCTTATGAACCCCCTCTCACTTACACCATTTCCTCCAACCCAACTCTCTCTCTCTCGCTCTCTCTAGCTTTCTCGATCTCGTCTAAATTCCCTTGTTTTCATCGTCCGTAACCATTCACCATGTCAAATAGTGACTCTGAAGACAGCACGGCCAACTCTGGCCCGAAAGATCTCTTCAAATGCTGTCACTGTGACAAGGCTTTGGCCTCCGGTCATTCCTTGCGTGATCTCCAAAACGCCCACCGTGTGGTGAGGAATGTCATTGAAGCCCATACCAACAACTTCAGGCACATTGCTGAAGCTGACCCGTCAGCTGCCGCTGCAGCTGTTGCCGGTGAGGTGCGTCAGGTGAATGCAGGCGGAGGTTATTATCATCAGATATTGTACCCTACTGCAGGCCTAATGGCAGTTGCATGTGGTGATTATTTTGATGCCCAACCCAATGGAATGATTAGGGCAGAAGATCATGAACCCAACAAGGCCCCAGAAGGTATTGTTAATGTCACAAGAGATTTTCTAGGGGAATGGAAATATAACAGTACTAATAGTGTTGGGTATGGTGCAGCTGCAGAGTCGGAGAGGTCTTCTGAGAGGACTTTGACTGACCCAATTTTAAGGGTTGGCCATGGAGGGTTTGCTCCAGAGGGAGCTAGGGATGATGGTGAAAAGGAGGAGGAGGTGACTTCGGAGAAGACAGAAGAGTTAAGCTTGGAGCTGAAGCTAGGGTTTTGATTCTGAAGAGCTGCTCTGGGGTCTCATTTATGTACAAAGGTGCTTAGAGTTGTTGGTATGGATTAATAAATGTCTGGAAATTATATTAGAGGTCTAAGTTTGAGTTATATATGCCATTATGAATTAATGTTACAAAGGTCTTAATATAAGTTTAAGTGCTTAGATTTGTTTGATGTTATGAACTATGCAATGCTCTAAGCATTCAAAAGCTTTGTTTAATTCTTTCTATAGAGAGTTCATGTTGTTTAACTAGCCAAGAAAATGGTAACTAATACCTGCAAGCTACATTTCTCATATAGATGAGATATCCATTTTTTTTAGGATCTTTCCTATTGAGATAAACGATAATATACTAAACTCACACACACTACGTATACACATATACTAGGACTCGAACCAGAACTTTGCTTTGAGGAGCAATTGCTCCAAACCACTACACTACACTAGTAGGTCATTTGCAAAGATGAGATATCCATTTTCAATTACAATATAATTGTCATATTAACAAATAAGAAATGGCCAACCAAGAAAAAATTGATTGAGTTCTATTTATGATTTCCAGCTTCAAACAGGAGATTAAGAGGAATTGAACCCTTTTTACCATTACTACTCTTTTGTCTGTCTAATATGTTATTTAAGAACTTTCGTAACTCAACTTACTTTACTCTCTAGAAAATGTTAGCCAATACGCATTCCATATTTAACATCAAGTTATTAATTTTCTTGTATATGCTAATCATACTGATTTTCTGCTACGGCTGGTCACAAATAGTGTCACACTAGTGACCAAATATGCTATAATTTGGTAACTAAACGTCAGCCTCGATGAATTCATTTACGCTTTTTTCACCTTTTGTAATGACTAATTTTTAAGTCCAATAGTGACCCATTTAACGTGGTATGTATTAGTTGCCCATGCAAACATATCCTAAAACCATTACTCATGTTGCACGATTCTTTCTTAAAATATAATATTTTTATATCAACAAGAAACCTGTACTTCAAATAATTAGAAATATTTACCGTTACAGTCAAGGTTCTGTGTTTGGACCGTCCTCTCTCAATATCAGATGTATCAAAAATAATAATAAGAATTTTGCATCGAAGTAAATAGCTACTTCCTAAATTATTATGTTGATTAATACTAATCCACTTGGCCAGAAGAATCAGAAAAAATTGATTAAAGAAGTTTTATCCTCAAAAAGGAAAAATAAATAAATAAAAGTTTGGAATTGCAAATGTTGTTTGAAAAGGAAATTTTCAAATATCATGTCCTTGTATATCATTTGCTGATAGTTTCTGTTCACTCTGCTCATCTGGAGCCATGGCCGGAACCAAGGCAATGGCTGCCCTTGGTTGTAGCCTAGGGAAGGTTTGGGAAAAAAATAAATTAAATATATTTATAGCATAATATTTTAACTAAAAATAAATAAATATATATACAATTTCAACATCAATAAGCATAGTAAGAGGTCTTCCACATTTGTATTTGGTGTCAAAGTTTGTCCCAACATCAATTTTAAAAAATTTCTATTAATTTGTCTCTAAAAAAGAAGCATTTTACTACAGAAAATGTAAGTACAAAAAAAAAAAATTATCATTAGATTTTAAACTAATAACTTTAGCTAACCCACCCATTGAAAAATTTCTAGTTCCATCCTTGTCAGGAGCATAAGTCGAAGCAGATATACGCTCTGAATCTGATAGTAGCCCAATCAGGTCTCCTTTTTTTACCATCCATTAATTTCAGAGCCATGACAACAAGCAAAACCACTGGTTGTTTGAGAAGAGAAAGACAGATTGTTTCAGTCACTTTCGTTAGGTCTACAGTGTCAATTTTTCTCTTCTTTCTGTGCAGGCTGTGGGCCCCAAAGAATCTGGGTGAACTAATTTCAGTATGATTTAATTTTTTTATTTTGTATTTTTTTTATTTTATTTTTTGCTAATCTAGATATTGGAAATAATTTCTTGTTTATAAGTGACCATAGATAATGGGTGACTTTAATTCCCATCATCCAACCACCCATGAATCCCATTCTCGGGTCATGGATCAGTTTTCTAGCCCACTCATGGACAGTTTTCTAGTCCAACAGTAGCCACGAGCAGAGCAGCGACCAACGGTCCTCTCTTCTATAAAAACAAAAACAAAAGACGCGTTCCAGATGAACACACAACCAAATACTAGAATTTTAATTCAGCTTGACAACATTATAAAAAGGCACTTTTCTCTTTTTAGGGCCACATCTTAAACTAATATTACACGGGGAAAAATAGAGAACCCGAATCGTGTATTTGTAGAACATTTGAATCAGCACTGTGAAAAACGAAAAAAGAAAAGATCCCTAGTTTTTTACAAACAAACAGTAAACCCTTGGCAAGAAAAAGGGAAAAGAAAACAAAAAGCCCTAATTTTGTATTATACACAAACAAGAAACCCTTGCCATACAAAACAAAACACACATTTTTACGCCCCTCCCACTCTCTCTCAAACCAATCTTATTGAAAGCTCATTATTGTTGGATCATCTTGAATCCCCCTCACCATCCTCCAAAACCATCAGGTCGTCGAGTCTCTTTTGTTGATTCCGAAGAATCAGTTTCAGTTCCTTGGGATTTTTTTAACTTGGCCACAAGAACCCACATGTTGGCAAGTTCATTTTCTAAGTAGGCTTCTCTTTGTTTGGATTCCTCAACCCTTCTTTGAAGCTCAGCCTCTCTTTTATCCTTCTCCATAAGAGCAGCCTCGTATGAATGCTCTCTCTCCTTACTCACTGCCAGTTCTCTCTTCATTTCTGAGACAAACGCACCTTGGTCCTGTTTGGCGTGACTCTCTCTCCGACCATTTCGGCCTGTGCTACTACTTCGACGCTGGCTGGGAGAGTTCTTCGATGCTGCCAGCTCAGCAGTTAGTTTCTCGTTATGGTTCATGAGTTTGGCAACTTCTTCTGATAATGCCTTGAGCTCAACAGCAGCAGCTGAGGCTAGACCTTTGGCATACGAACTCTCCTCCACCAGTTTCTGGTTCCGAACTTCTAAATTTTCTTTTGACTTGGTCAGTTCAGCCACCTTCTGCTGCAGTTCTTCAACCTAAGTGAGGGTAAAAAAGAAAAAGGAAAAGATAAAAAGGAGTAATTTAATAGAGATGTAGCTTGACAGTGTTGAAACTGATATATTAAAAAATAAAATGAAACAAATTGGAAGAATAACAAGCTCATGAAATTGATCAGTGGTACTTTCCATGGGAATCCAGATCTTTTCGATGAAAATATCTTATCATAATTTAGTGCACCGCCAAATAAACTCTTAAAACAGAATGTTCCATAGAAACAATAATTTTTTCTTCTAAATATAGAGAGTTTCTGCATGCATCAACAGAATCAGTTACGCCAAGGCTAACTGGTAACTGCAACCTATTTTGCAGCACCCAAGTCTTCCGTTTGTTTGGGGCAGTACAAAACTCAAATTTTCCAACTAAATAAACACTCAGAGACCACAAGAGAAGGAAAACCTGCTTCTGTAGAAGGAAAATTTCATTTGTGTCATTCACCACTGCATGTTCTTTCTCTGTGCAAAGTTCATCATGCAATTTTTTTGAATCAGTTTGAGAACTGACTATTGGGCTCAAATTTCTAGACTCTAGTGCCTCAGAGAGCTGCTGCTTCAATGAGGCAACTGTTTCCTGCAACCCTTTGCATTCACAGACCTGGTAACAACGTAATATGATGTCATGTGAGGCTCTGAACTCTGAAATCTTATTGAAAGATGAAATTAACAAATAAATTTTATTAAACTGGTTCCTGTACCTTTTGTTCCAGCTGCTCTTGGATTATACGATTATCAGCAGCTTTAACCTGGCACGAAAGTAATAATAGAACAGTCAACAGAATAGACTGGGATTATAGTAGGACAACCCTCAGTAGAGCCCTGGGAAAACTTCATTTTCATTTTTCCATATCTTTGATAGTGTAGTTGTAATTTGTATAATATCCAAAGTCTTGTAAACTGGAAACTGAAGTAACACTAACAAAGATATACCCAGAGAGGGTCATGCAAGTGGATATTTACGATGGGTTTTTTGGACATCCCATGGAACACAAATGCTTCTATAGTGTGTCAATTGATCACGCGAGTCTCTTGCCCGCAACATTAATTATCAAACAAAAATAATGTACAACTATAATCAACACAAAAGTATAGATATGATTGTAATGGACTGAATCCAATTATTTGCCGGGGGGTCAACTTGATGCTCCATATGATTTATTTTAGAGTTATTTACTCACTGTGCTATGTTTTCTTGGATCAAGATGTAGTAAGTTATTATCACCTCAAGTTCGAAGGACTTCTCATTCAATTGTGCCATCACTTCAGCAAAAGACTGCAGCACAAACCACAAACAACATCAGTTTGACCTTAAAGACAGATTTTTTATGTTTCAAGAAAAAAAGGTACAAGCTGACCCAATAGTACGGAAGTCCAAACTTACTTGGGATATTTCCAGTTGATCCAGTTTGTTGGGTGAAACAATGAAGGACTCCGCAATTTTCTTTTCCAGCAAAGCTATTTGTCTATTCTTCGCCCTTATTTCATCTTTTAACTTTCGCATCTCCATCTTCATTACAGAACAACGGTAAAATTGAAGGTCCCAGGAATATTAACAGCATTTGGAGACAAAAGACGGTAAGGATATAAGAGAATTACATTAATTCCATCCTTGTGGGGGTTTTTTCCTGCCTCCTCAGACAACCGCTTCAGAGCACTTGAATGGAGTGCTACCTCACCAGACAAGATTTTTTGCTGCTCCCTTAAAAGATCAATCTGATCAATCGATTTCGTGGTAGTCTGACAGTAGAAATGAATAAATGAGTGAACGAATGGATCATAAAATAGAGAAATACATTCTATTTGGACCATACTTAGACTATCCCTCACATAATTTCTTAGCCTGTAAGTTTACAAGATTTGATATTTCACATACTGGATCAAGTACATGGTAATATTCTTTATGCAAAAGATCCACATACCAGAGGTGTCTCTTGTTCCAGGAACTTTTCCTGACCAACTTCTCTATCCTCTCTAGCCTCGGACAAAAGATCAGCAGATGGAGAACTCTCTGTCAGTAGAGAATGTGAAAGTCTGGATTCTGCGTGAAAATTACCACTTTCTGCTTGAGGTGTTGATGGTGTACTAGTAGATTTAATTCCACTGGATCTATCGCTGGTGCTTGTCAAGGTCCCCGCACCACTATCACGTTTCTGACCAAGAATTGACAAAAGGTGGAAAATAAATCTATAAAGAATACAAAAAGGTCTTGCAATGATAAATATATTGGGCTGTCGGACACAAACAGCACAAGAGTAACCAGTTCCTTAAGAAAAGCTGAAGGTTCAGACCATACTAAGAAGTCCCTCATAGGATCCCATGCCATTTTAGTGGATAAACATGGGGTACTGGCTTTAAGGAAAAAAATAAAAGAAGGAATATATGCTTGGAAATTACAAGAATGAAAGGGATTTTCTTAAAAATTTATTTATTTGAGAGAAATAACCCCAAGAAATTACAAGATCAACCTTCTAAAGCATGTAAGTTAAGGTATAAGTACATTGGCATCAAGAATATAATACATATGTGTGTAAATATATATTATATATAACAAAGGAACAGAATAAAACTCAGACCCCCTCTAAGAGAGAGCCATTGCAACAAACACCTTAATTCATATAAGACCATTACTCCAAAATCAAGGCACCTTAAGAAAGGACGAAATATTTCTACCAACCAAATGGCACATACCCGTAGCTTTAACCAGTTTAACAGTCCATGCTTCCGAGTCTTCTTCTCCCCCTTCAGTGTATCTTCAGTAGTTTCAGTACTCCCCTCAAGAGGAGGAACAAACAAGTCAATACTTTCATCATCTAAAATCAAGTCCCGCCTTTTGTATGGTAGGTATGCAAGCTGTAATTTTACACAAGTAGTTACACTCATATCAAACAGAATGAGGAATAGGAAAAGAAAAAAGTCAACCAAAAAAAAAGCAACTAAATAAGCAAACAAAAAAAAACTAGTCTATTCATCTAGCAGAGGGAAATCTTAGGAAAATTCAATCCGACCTCCTCTTCACCAAAGGAATGTCTTCTTCTAAGACCAGGTCGATGCGGAAACCTTGATGATTGTGTTGCTTTTGTCGAGACCAAAATCAACTTTGTCAGCCTTTGGATTCTTCCCAATAAAGCAGCTTTGGCTTCTTCTTCTTGTTCCAATCTTGATTGCAGTTTGAATTTACCATCTTCTAACTTCACACATTGCATCACAGCAAAAGAAGCAGTTCAAGTCACACAACATTGACTATTCAGAAATATATAATGCATCGATACTGAGAACTGTGCATTAATTGAATGACAAAAGGTCTGTTGGTAATACCAGAGGACTGAACCACATCTTTATCAAGGATGGGGCCCAAGATGGCTTTACGATTGATCCATAACAATAATTTATGTGGATTTTAGAAGATACAAAATAAACAAATAAATCTCAAAACTAGTTATACATTCACACCTAATTTATAGGGTTCTGCCAACTGAGATACCAGCAATATTATTGTCTTTTTTCCTGTAGGTGTCTAAACCAATTTTAATCATGTTTTAGCATTTCATTCAAGTTTAGTTTGATTTCTATGAAAGCGACAGAGTTTTAGAATCAGAATATCACAAAAGCTGCAGACCCAGAAATAACCCTGAGACCAACCCAGAAGAGGAATTTGAATGCACCTTTTGTTTAAGGAGCAGAATATCATCTTCCCCAGCATCTTTTAGTTGAGGAATTGTAACGATACCCCTCTTCAACTGTTCTAACTCTTCCTTCAAACTACGTATCTCATTTTGATATTTCTTAATAAGTGACTTCTCATCAATAATCTGCAGGTACATAAAATTATGCGAGGTGAGAATCAAATGAAAATACTAACAGTTCGAAGAAAAGAGATAAAACAAGCATACCTTGTTTTGTGCTGCTTGAATTTCAATGTGTTTTGCTCGGTGTGCAAATTTCAACGTATTATGTGTCTCTTCTGAACTGCTTGATGAAGGAGTAACATTGCAGATGAGCTGTAATAGTAGACAACATAAGTAATCAATTACAAAACTTTCTTCGCAATCAATATTGGTTCTGCCACAAAGATGTATTGAAATAATAACCTTCATGCAGATAAATGGAATAGAGGTGGAACCATAAAGACAGGGGAAGCCTTACAGATACACGCCCATGACCACTTAGCGAAGATTGAAGAAGTCTGGTTAATTTAGAATCCCTGTATGGTATATGAGTAGCCCTCGCATCTGTCAACTTTGATATAACCTACAGCAACAGAAGTTAAAATATTCTGAAATAAGTATATCATATAAGATAAACAATTACTGGGAAAAGGACAATCTAATACGATATTTCAAACTTCTTGGCTGAAAACAATGCTTGAGGCCTCACAGTTCCTAGAGTTAGCAGACTTTTATTTATATAGGATCCTTCTTTTCGCCTGACACCAGTAGTTTCAGCTTTCGAGCTCTCAGAACCTGCCAGATCGATGAGGTTCTGCACATACAAGTTAGATATGAAAGATCCATGAGAAATTCGTAAATATTGAATATAAAAAAAGCTGAATAGTTCATAATTGTAACCAAGAAATATAGCAAACCAGTCGTTTGTAACTAAGAAAGATAACAAACAAGTAAAAGTCAGTCCTTCGTGTTGAATACTTACCAATTGTGACAGACTTACAGCTTCGCCTTCACTATTTTCCCCACATGGGCTACTCTCTATTGTCTGTTAACAAAGTAGTCATACAAACATATTAAGTCATGTGCAGGTTTGTCAGTGTCAAGAAAACAATAGAAGAGAAATTAAAGGTAAGATACCACAAAAAGATATTGAAATGATTAGCGAAAACAGAAATAGAATTACAAAAAACAATCAAGATTACAATATGCTATATTAAGATAAGGGAAACACACCAGTGTAAATATCGTGTGGCTCCGGCTACTGAGTAAATTGAAATTTGTCGATCCAACATGCCTGTGCTCTGTTGGCAACAATTAAAATTCCATCACAAAGTGAAACAAGATTCGTGAAAGGAATACAAGAAGTTAAAATTGACAAGAACCAATAGCATCTGGTCAACTACACAAATAAACAAGATTTTGGATAATAAGAAACTCCCATAATCACAAAATATCATTAATGTTCTTTTACCTTCTCCAGCTGCTATAAGTGAAAGGGCGTGAGCTGGGGATAGTACAACTTCTTCCTTTGTTCCTTCAACAAAGGTGCCCTACAGCCATCAATTAAGCAATTAACAAGACATTCTTAACAGTTTGGAAATGCCAGCTTCGACAAAGTAACTAACCACATAATCATAAGTAAATATTCTGATTGTAACAGACGCCATACAAAAGTTAATGAAAATATTTTGTGTGGCGTCTTCAGTCATGCAGGAATTTTCAAAAACTCTAAGAACCAGGTACCTGCCTTAGACTGCAGGTAATAGGAATGTATCTTGGACCATGAATCAGTGATCGTATTTCTACACCTTATATTGTCTACACTTCAAGTCATTGCCTAAAGCTCAAGAGGATGAGATTTCATCTCTATCTTACCATGGATATTAAATGCATCAAGAAGTGTAAAAGCATAAGATTAATGATGTGATCGAAGCATTTGAAACAATGGCCGTAACCATCGTTATTGGCATAACAGTAATTTATGAAGATGATCGTAAGATCACAAAATGAGTAAAGCACCTGGGCATCCTCTCTAATTCGTAAATTCTGTCCTGCTGGATTCAACAAGTCATTAACAACCTGAAATGAAAGAAACCTTAAAAGGTAATAAAGTAAATTTAAAGGCATCACTAAAGCTAGTATAAAGTTAAACAGTGCAAACAGAAAACTTGAAATCAAGAACAATCTCCAAATAGCAACAGCCAATAAGAGATTCATAAGTATGCTATAGAGAAAATAGGAGTGTAAAAAGTCTTACCTCATTATAAATCTCCAAGTATGACACACGAAGAAGAAACTCTCGATTTGGAGTCTGGAGAATAGACAGATATCATAATATGTAGTTTCTCTACTAAAAAAAACTACAGATGTTGTGTTACATTAAGAAGTTAGTATCGCATATAAAGTACCTCCTGGATGATGCTAAAAGCATCCTTCACAGCCAGTGGTATAATTCCAGGCGACCTCTGATCACCCTGAAATTCGTAGGAGAAAGCATAATGATAATCATAATGGATCCAAGCACATTAATACCCAATCTCACTACAAAGCACAATGTATGTTACTTCTATGAGAAACTATGAAGAAATAGGGGTGCCCGATGAATGCATATTAACCGGTTATACTCCATATTAGAATATGATGAGAATCTCACATGCATAGTGTGAGTCTTTCCGCTGCTGGTCACCCCATATGCAAAAATTGTACCTGGCATGGAAGGAAATCATAAGCCATATATACAAGCACTACATTATGTCATATCTACAACTTAGATATATCTGAATACCATAAAAAGAGTATAACTCCCTCAAATTTTAGTGCAAACTGCTAATAACTTCGCTAGAGCAACAAGTTGCCTAACCCAATCAAACTGCCAGTGCCCAAGTTACCCTTGGCAGGCAGGGGTTCTTACTCTTGACAGTCAAAGCATTGGATGCCTAGGAAACTAAACAGATCGCAGAACCAGGATGGCTTTTTCAGCCAAATAGGTTCTCTAGTCATATTCACATAGCTATACAAAGAGAAGATCCCAAAGTTTTCTAGATGGTCAACGAAACTGTGTAGACCAAGAATGTGAAGGGATTGATCATCTTATGGTTCCTAGAGTTCACCCAGAACTAGTGGTCCCAGCTTTTCCTTATGCAACAGACCATTAGGTCCCAAGATTCTATTATCATCATTCACTACACACCAATTACAACTATACTTCAGCCAGTGAGCATTAACAATGCACTTTCCAACCTATAGCATTGTTCAAAAAGGTCAGCAACCCAGTCAAAAAGAATTTAGGAGGGAAAGCTCGAAGTCCTTGGATCTTGGAATGTTATTGAAATGAGTGGCTGAGGTAAGAATTCATCATATGACATTAATTAACATGGAGAACAAGTGCCCCAATTGATTTACACTTTTTTCATGGCTTCATGCATGCAAGGGTTATATCACTTCTTGCAATGTAATCAAGCCATGCTTGGTGAAAATAGAAAGGGAAAATGTAAACGCAAAGGCCAAATGGACTTATAACTGGCACTCCTATAAGATAATTCATCAAACTTATATCTAAAAAGTAGGTGCCGTAATTAATTTCATAATGTAAAGGAAACAAAAGCAAACGGAAAATATGTTCAACCTACAGTTGATCCAGCAAGAAAGGAATGACTCTTAAAATATAGTCTATACAAATGTATACAAGAGAGCTTTACTGTCTTTTTTTAGTAACCCAATTACTATCCAATTTGTCCCCAAATTATTAGAAATATAACTATCAAGAGCTATATGAATCAGGTTGTGAACGGACCACACAATAATATCAGATCTCGAAAAGTCAAACTTCCAGTGTAATTCGTGAAGCTGAATCCAAATAGTTGGGGTACAATTTTTGGTTTCAATACGTTGAAAATTAATTGTGCATTGGCCATCTTTTATAACTGGAAAAAGCAATGCTGATCAAACTACACTTCAGATAAATTTCAGGACATGAAATCAAGCTGCAAACAATGCGTTCATCAAACCAAGAAGTCAAAGCTATTTACCATTGACACCTTCCATAGCACCACTAATAACATGCTGAGCAGCAACATCATAGACGTGGCGTGTTGTGGTGGTAGGGCCAAACACCCTATCTAGAAGCATAGAATAAAGAAACCATGAGACAAAATACAAGGTCCAAACAAAAATTAACTTATGTGAGTTTTACGTTCAACGCATTGGATAAAATATTTCCCTAACAAGATATGGAAATATAACATTTTTTTCTTATGGGTAATCATAAACTTCTACTAAATTAAGGGTAAAACTATTCTGCGTTGACTTCTGATGTGCTATGGCCTTTATCATATAGAGTTATTCTCTGGCAGGGACCTGTTTCTTATATATGGATGACTAAGATGCAAAGTGAGTAAGATCTCAATTCATCTCAGTCATCCATATCTAGTGTAATGGATAAAAACCAAGTCATTATTTATGTGCAAATTCATTAGACCTCAAGATCATTAAGCTTTGATTTACCATTTTCTTCCTCTACACAAGCTCAATAAACAAAGAGAATACAAGACTATTTGTTTAATGGAAAATAGATAAATACCGTATGCATAAGCTATTGATGGATTATGCTCATTCCGCACAATAGTGTCTCCATCTGCATACCATGCAATTTCTTCTCCTTGGCGAATTTCCCTTGGGCTACACCAGACATAGACAAGAGCCAACAGCTGACTTATTAAGTACTCACGGAACTTTGTAAGTGAAATACAATTCATACTAGTGAAATGAACCTGAGTGGACGAAAGCGGACCGTCACTGTGACATTTTCTTTTGATCTGCCCACATCTTGCGGTACACTTTCTGAGTACAAGTACTGTGGCTTACTTCGAGCTGAAGAAGATGCAGGAGAGCTCTGACCTTCAATAGATGTTTCCAAATATTGTTTTGAAGACGATGTAGTCGAAGATGCAGGAGAATTAGCAGCTCTTGAACCGAATTTTTTTGACCTTGGTCCATGTTTTGATGCCATTACCACTCGAAGTCAATCCTTCAATACATCGACCACAAATTCTACTTCAGCATCAATCAGCGACAACGTCAGCTTCTGAACTCTTCAATATGTTAACATCTTCTTAGGCTTGTTCGGTTAAAGAGAAATGCAGGCAGAAATAACCATCTAAACTTTGAACCAATATATATATATATATATATATATTATTCTAATGCCATACTTTAACTCTGACACCAGCATTAAGTTCAAAATCAACCAAATTAAAGTCACAAGTACAATCTTTGAGTACTTCCACTAAGCACCAAGCATACTCTAGCACTGTTTTTGGTTGCCAAGAAAACTGTAGGGAAAATGATTGTGGCATGGGGGGTGTAGTAGTTCGAATTGTAGAGCAAACAAAACAATGAAAAACTAAAAAACCAACTATATCCAACTACTCCTTGGATTAGTTAAGTTTACCTCATCCTCGCCGTTTTGTTAATTTATAATATGTAAAGCAAAAAATCATAATTCTCTGTTACCCTACTTTCCTCATTTTCTCAGCAGCCAGACAACGAGTAAGGCAATGAGAAAATGCAGAAAATTAGGTAAAGGAAGAGAACAAGTCCCCATTAAATTGCAGAAAATTACATCTTCTTAACCCATTACGTTGCTAAGAAAAAAGTAAAGAGATTAAGTACAAATACAACTAACCCAAATTCCAAAGCACAGAAAAACTAAACAGAGCAGCAGAGGCTTTACCTGCAAACGCAATCAGAGAAGCACTGCATGCACCAAATGGAGAAAAGTGGGGAGAAAGCGAGCTTTATATCACAGAGATCTTCTCAGAAGTCGGAAAGAGACGGATCTGAGAGACGCTTGCTCTGTGCGAGTGAGTGAGGGACCAAGAGAGAGAGATACCTGAGCTATTTTTTTCTATATTTTGTAATAAATAAAATGGAGCCTTTCTTGCTTGCCTTGGAAGCGATGCCTTTGATCAAAGGCAATCAGCATTTCTCAATCCAACTTTTTTGCAGAGAGAGTAAGCGAGACTCATACATACATAAACGGCATAGACATACACCACCTATAGTTATAGAGAGAGAAAGTGAAGGAAGAAAGGAAAAGAAAAAGGAAAGAAAGTGGTTAGAGAGAGAGAGTGAATTTGGTACAGTAGCTGTAGCTTAGTGAAAGGCTGGCTGTAATGGTGGTGGGGCTATGTTTTTTTTCATTTTTTCATTATTTATTTATTTATTTATTTGAGGGGGGCAGAGAGAGACTCAGAGAGTCAAGAGGTCACAGGAGTTGTGTGCGATGAGGGGGTGGGGCCCAAGGTGAAAATTAGACGAAGACGAGAAAACGGCGTCGTATGTCGGATGTCAAGACCTGTGAACTTTTGTCCGTTGTTTGACACGTATTTATCATTGGTAGTACATGACAATTCTGTCTGCTAAAAAATGTCTTGTGGTGATAATTTGATTATGTTTTGTTTTTTTTAATCATTTCGTCATCATCATAATTTTAAGCCATCATCATCAATTTTTTTTTTTTTTTTAACTTTTAATATTAATTGACTTGCATTGTTTTTTTACACGAATAAAGATTGTAACATTATAGTTAAACTTGAAGACCAAGACAATGTGTGGAGAGGTCTAAAATCCTTTACGAATTAAGCTAAAGCTTTTGATGGGGATACTCTCAACACGTCCATTTATGTGTTTATTTTTCACACCTAACATGCGCACTATGCTACAATGAAAGAAATCAGAAGAATATGAAGATGATCACAGAGAGAGAGAGAGATAAATTATTGAAGAGAAGAACAAGGTCAGTCTGATATTGATCGAGTAAAATTTGTATCTTGTTACAATGCTTAAAGCTTAAGTAAGTACTTATATATATATATATATATATGCTAAGCTTAAACAAGTAAGTTGAGTAACAAACTAACCTCCTAACTGCAATTTAGCATGACTAAACTAATCTAATTGTACAAAAACTAATTTCTTAATTAATTATTAGGTAAACAAATTATTCTTATTGGATGACGTATGGGATCATATGAGCCCAACTTATCAAGTGAGTTATAAAACACTACATAAAAACTACCTTGGTAAAAATATCAATAAGTTGATTTTATCTCTTTACACAAATGAAAAATTAATTATTTCAACCTCCAACTTCTCCTCAACGAAATTTCAACGTGCATTAGTGTGGTGGTCATGTTGCACATGTTTGTGTGCAATGTCATTAGCAATCTTACCATCGCAACGTAGTCTTATAGCTTTCCCATACTTGAATCCCAAGTCTTTCAATAAGTTCATAAGCTAAAGTGATTCAAAAACATCACGAGCCAGACTTCAATACTCAGCCTCAACACTAGATTTTGCAACGACCTTTTGTTTTTTTGAAGTATTTAGAAGTAGAGTGTATATCCGTAATAAAAACCAGCCCAATTTGCATCAGTAAAGCCTTCACATCTACACGATGACGTTTGGAAAAAAATGAGAGAGATTATTGTTGTTCTTGTTGGTATGTGTGGTACGTGCCTTCTTTACGCATAACAACTTTCTCCATAGAAATACATATCCCAAAGTAATTATTGAGTGGGAGCACCTGCCCCCAGTGGGCCTTAGCTGCCTAATTCATATGGAAGCTAGCAAACCTGTCAAATGTAAAAACAAAGGGAAGAAGATGGTTAAAGGTAATTATGAATCTGCACCCCGTGCAATTCGTTTCATTGTAGCATGAAAAGCTGTACTTTATTCAAGCCTGCCTCATTACGGGCTGACATTACACACGTTTGTACGTAATTTTTTATTATAAATATTTTAATTTTCCTTACGCTTCTAAAAAATAAAGTAATATATATTTAAATTAAAAAATACGTAAAAGAGTCACTAAAAGATAGACATTAGACATTTTAGTATGAATGCCTCAATCCAAACTTTTATATATTCCAATTCCGTTTTAGTATTTAAATGTGTAATGACGCAAGAAATTTGTAGCGTAAATGGTTAAAATTAGTTACTCATACATTTGAATATCGTTTGCGTTAACAAAGGTGCATAAAGAAGACTTATGTTTTGGTGGTTTCGATTCCATTTTTGAGAAGCTTTAACCAACACAAGATTTTCATGAGCTGGCTTTTTGGTATTTGGAAATAAAGGTTTAGAGTAAAGTAGAATATATAAAATACTACACAAAATTTTTGTGTTCAACCCCAAAAAGTATAAATACAAAAAGAAACTAGGAAAAAAAAATTCTGGGGTCAACACATGAGGCCAACCATCTTTCTCGATTATGTTAGAGGAGAAGGAGATGTCAACCATCTCTCCTTTCTACATAAAGTCTCATTTTAAAATAATTAATAGCAAGTTGTTGTAGTTGAGGAAGAAATTGTATATGCCTTCAATGTTTGATTAAGAATCTTTAATAAAGGGTGGATGGAATAATTAATAATGATGGCTGCAGATTAAATTAATAATGACAACTTAATATATTAGCTGCCATTATGAATTATGTTGGGTGAGTGTGTGTTTAAAAATTATTCCGTAGTCGAAATACAAAATGCACTAATGACATGTTTATTAATCTATAATTGAATTAGGAGGAATTGAATTGAATATGAATTAAATCGAATAGGAATTTGATTAAGGAGAATTAGATTTCAAATTTTTATTGAAGTTGTTTATGAAACTATATAGATCGAGGAAAGCTAGATTCTGGATTCATATTAAAGTTGTTTACTAAACCATGTGGAATTGGGGTAGGAGTGGTACTAATTACTAAAATGTCATCATTGTTGGTTTAAAGTAGACGACAAATTTAGAATTTTTAAGATTGTGTGAGGATATAATAGGTAAAAAGATGAAATCCTAATGAGTTAGTTCTCTATAAATTAGAATACCACCTCCCACCTCCCACCCAATGATTGAATTCCTCTAAAATCACCATCAACCTTATCCAATAAACTTTATTGTGTTGAAGAATATAAGTCCCACGTCAGAAAACTTGACTAAATAAAATACAAGATATAATAATTGGTTCAACTACTAATATCACCGAGGCCTTTGGTAATAAAAACTTACACCTACTGGGTTTTGTAAGTGGTTAAGTTAGAGACAATATCGGTGTTGTTAGTAGAAAGTTACTAACCTCTCTCTCTAAAATTTAACATATTGGTTATATATGAATTCCACATTGGATTTCTTTATGGTTTCAATGAAAGGCTTTGTAATGGCATTGTTCTATCTACTCCCAAAAGCCTTTCCAGTGTCAACCAGCCACTCATTGAAACTAAAGTTTTTTTTTCTTTTTTCCTGGGGATGCTTTACATTTTCTTTTCTTTTTAAAAAAATGTTTTAATATTTTGTTCTCTTTCCCATCATAGGATTCTTATTAAACTATGTTCCATCATTCCATGCACCCGAAAAAAGCCAAAATCAGAAAGCAGCATCCAACTTTTGCTTTTCTCCTCTAGGAAGGAGCTTCATTTGATTTGTTGTTGGAAGCTCTACTTCATCTTCATGTTGGACCACAACATAAATTTACTACCTAGGAAAGGGCTGTCTTTTATTTTGTGTTGAAAGCTCCACTTCCTCTACCTCATGGTGGCCGATTTCGAAAATAAAAAGAGTATTTTCACGAATGATAGAGTATTGGATGTCCGATTAGAGACATGTGCAAATTAAAGAGATAAATACTTTTAATCATTTGAGCTCAAAATTCGTTACTCAATTATAAGTCATGTTAATCGGTCACCAATCGATTGGCGTGAGGTCCGCTGTACCGGATCCGGTAGTACTGGTAGGAACCACTTACAAATACACGAAGGATGGAGCAACTGTACTAGTGCGGTGGGCTGGAGAACTGGGCCGGTTGACGATTATCTAACCAAAGGCCCACCTAATCCAGCTAAAGATTATAGCGATGTAGCCCACCGACCACGTGGCAGTCGACTGGGCCGCCTGTGATGAGTCCATGAACCACCAGTGAATCAGCACAACAAACCCGCAGTTCGTTGACGCCTGACACGACTGTTAGGTTGTTCGGTACCTTCCTTCCCGTTCCTAAAACACAGTCACAGTCCGAGTCTCTGAGATCTTCGCCTTCTCTGTTAATCGTCTGTACAATCACCCAAAAACTCCCGATGGTCAATTTACCAGGTAACTTCTTTTCCCTCTTCCTTTTTCTTCCTCTTCTTGGGAAATTTTGCGTAAATTGGAAAAATCAATTAGAACGAAGTGAATTTATGGTTTAATTGAGGATTTCGAATTATTGATTGATGTTATTTAGTACATTGTTAGCTCAGCTCGTGCATTTTCAATGCTTCGAGTTTTTCTTTTTCTTTTTTCTTTTTCGTATTATCAATCGTGTTTAATTTTTCGCAGTACTGTGGATATGAAAGAGAGGAACTCTACATCCACGCTTAAACGCATTTTAGTGACTTGTGCAGCACAGGTTCGTACTTGTCTCTGTCTTTTGGTCAATTTTGATTAAATTGTATACGGGAATGAATTTTGATGTATCTTCTTTTTGTGGTCTGAGAATAAATTTTGATCCAAGAAGGTGTATTTTGCATGTTCTTTGATGGTTTTGTGGTTGAGTTGTTGATTCGGGATATTTGATTTAAGTTTACGATAGTAAGAGATTGGGAGGAGCTGTACAAAGACTTGTACCTGGGAATTTAAACAAGGTTTTAAATTTGGGTCGAGAAGATGCGGCCTTGGGTTTTTGGATGCGTGGGAAGTTTCTGCGTAATCCGATTAAAGGGAATTGTTAAAGAATAGAGTATGATATATAATTTAAAATGTTAACATTGTGTAGAGTTCTACTTAATTGGATTAAATGGAATTGTTAAAGAGTGGACTATAGACTGGAGAGATTATGTTGTGGAATCGAATAAGTAATTTTAATGTTGCATAGATGTATTCTTATCATGTGGACTATGGGGAGATATTGGTGAAGGTAGAAATCGAGTTACTGAACTTTGACATCATGTTCATTAGAAGAAGACAGACTATGTGTATAATACACTATTTCGTTCTTTGGTTATTATGTATATGTGGAAAAAAAAATTATGCAGATGGTTTAAACGATATTCTCTAGGAGCTGCCCATAGACAAAACCTTGGAATCTGCACGGTGCATTGTGCATAATTTAAAATTTATCTCTTCCTTGTAGGCAAAAGAATATGGGGGTTGTGTTGCAGCAAAGGTTCCACAAGTTGAACGTGATATGTGCTTGAAAGAATTTCTTGCATTAAAGAGTTGCATGCAAAACGTGGTATGATTTCATAATTAATGGTAGATATGTCAGTGTATGGCAGCTTTGTATTTGTCATGTTCTAGGAAAATGGCTTTTGAGTCTGCTTTTTTGCTTCTAAATAGCTGCGAGGAAAGGCTTGAACCGGCAAGTGTGATTCTTCAGTGCTTGGACACAGTAGTTGGAACTGTTCTAAAAAAGGTTCTTCATTTATCTAGAAAAGTCTTGTTAACTTTCTTACTGTTCCACTAACATGATCCTTTAGAGTATCTGTTCTTCATGTCTTTCTTTGTCTATCCTTATTATTTTTTTGTTTTATAGCGTTGAGGCTGGTTTAGGATTATCAGCAGCAGTACTTGCTAAACCCTGTAATAACTCTTCAAAAGTCTGAAAATCAAGATGTCTGGAAAAGCATCAAGTTCACAGTCGAGTATTGGTTTGAGTGGGTCTGGGGCTCTTTCACATGTTTATATTCCATATCTGCCCCTAAGATGCAGTGTAGCTGGATCAAGGGGTTTATTTTATGATGATGGCAATAAGCTGCTGCTTTCCCCAACATCAGATCAGGTAATATGATATTTGTACTTCAATGTTCCCAATTCTTTAAGTCTTCCATTCCAATTTGATCTGAATGCTGTTTTTTCCGGTTTTGTTCTATGTAGGTCTTCTGTTGGAAAACTGTTCCTTTTGATCCTGTGGTTACTCCTACCTCTGATTCAATTAGTGAAGGGCCCATCTTATCCATTCGATATTCATTAGATGCAAAGTTTATAGCAGTCCAAAGATCTGATCATGAGATACAGTTTTGGGATAGAGGAAGTGGGGAAACTTTTAGTCAGAGGTGCAGGTCAGAGTCAGAGAGCATACTGGGATTTTTTTGGACAGATTGTCCAATGTGTGATATTGTATTTGTAAAGACCAGGTAAGGATATGTTTTTCCACGTGTTTAATATGAATATTAAAGAATGAATTATATTACTTGAATTGTGTATTTATTTGTATATCCTGTATCTATTAAGTTTTTGGTTGGATTTGTAGCAAAAAAAAATTTAAAATGTAAAAGGGCTTAGTTTGCCATCATACTCTGTGAACCACAGATATTCCCAAAAATTTAGATATGGACTGTCAGATATGGATGCACCCCTAAAAGGCTGCATACGTATCAAATACTCCAAATGTGTATTGCTTAATGTTGGCGGCTTTGAAATTTGGATACGGTAAGGATAGGCAACCGATATGCATAGTATTCGGTCAGGATACAGCCAAGATACGGGAATGAGTTATTTTGCAATTTTTGTCTATAATGCTGGATTTTCTGTTATTTATTTATTTTGTATTTGGTAATTGATGAAACATTAATGCTATGCATGAAAAAGGAATCAATTTATATGAATCGTATATCTTCTGTATTTCATTGGCGTATTGTTGCCATATATGTATCCTAGTTTTTTAAAATTTTCTGTATCACCGTATCGGTCGCACCCTGCATCCATATATGTGCAACATTGTCTTATCCATCTGTTCACTTGAACTTGGATCATTGATATATCGAATTGGCATATATTATTTGAGAGAAAATTATAGTATCCTGATGACTGGATGGTCATTCATGGTTTTGGTTCTGCTTCAGCCATCACAAGAATTTTTGTCATGATCATGTCATGCAGATCGATCAGACCTTAGTAGTTTACCCAGTTGTGAGGACAAGTAAACTAGTTAAAGACCACTTATTTATAGACGTCCAGGGATGCAATTCTTTTTGTTAAGCACATAGGAACCATTTAAAACAAATTGGGTGATGTTGCCAAAATGTACTTCATTTGTGGTGCTGATATCTGCTGTAAGTCTAGGAAGCTTCATACATAAAGAGGAAAGTTATGGTATATATACACACACACACACACACACACACACATACATGATAGGCAAACCTAATCTTTCTAAATTGACAAATTATTGAGGGCCGCTAAAATGTTGACGGGTAGGATCATATCTGGACCTCTTCTCCTAGGATCCTGTGTTAAGTAGGACCAACACTGGGTAAGTGGGCTCTGATAGTTTGGAGGTGAAGGATTGTTTTGATGCAAGCAGAGAAAGCAGGTTATTGTTATGGCCAGTCTTCTCTCCACTTGTGTCACATGATAAAGGAGGTCTGTTCTTGAGAAGTTAAACTGTTACTTTTCAAGTAGCATTATTAACCAAGTGGCAATGTCCTTAAAGAGATTACAATTGGGTCATTTCTGGGGTTTTTTTAATTTTAAATGACTCTTTATTGAGATGTTATTTGGATACAATTGCTTTTTTCAAACTCAAAGCGTGCGCTCATTATGGGGTAGAATGCGCTCCATTTTGTTACATAGTTAGGAAGCTTTGTCTTTGTTGTGGCTCCATGCAAAGGATTTTTAGGTGGAGGGTGGGGTGTGGGATCTGGTGTTGTACCAAAGCTTGAGTTAAGAGGGATAGGATATCTGAGCATGTTTTGTGAAAAGTTTCAAAATCTTTACAATAACATTTTTTGTTACTCTTTTCTTTGTTTCAACCACATTCTTTTGCACCAAGGTTTTGCCTTTCTTTCATTTTGCTAAAATGGAGTTCAATCTCAGTGGGCTGGACTTGTTTGCTTACAATTCTGAGTCAAGATCACTCCAATTGGTCGAGACAAGGAAATTACATGTGAGTTGGTATGTTTACACACATGAAAGTCGCTTGGTTCTTCTTGCTTCAGGAATGCAGTGCAAAATCTTCAATGGTTTTCAGGTATGTGTAGCACTCATTATGTTAATGTTTTTCTTTTTTAAGCCTTTCAGTTTGCTCTTTTGCTGTAAATTACTTCTATGAACTATTGCTGTTGTAATACACAGGAAAGTATTTATTAATTTTTTTCCATTGTTAAAGAAAAGTGGAAGAATTTCCAATTTTTTTCTTTTTTGGACTATATGGTTTTAGGAAGTTGAATTGCTTTTCATAGTTAGCACTCATCAACTTGCAATGTTTACTTTCTTAATGCAACATACAGCAGTGATTATACTGTTACAATCTTTTTGATGCCCTTGTAGTTCGTACAATTATATGCAAGCAATTGATATGGTCATTATGATAATTTTCCTCTGTGCTTTGCATTGCTGAAATGTATTTTATAGATTGAACTAAGAATCATTTCATAGTTTCTGGAACAAAATGTTTGATTCTTTCTGCTTGAAACATCTGTTAGTATGGCTTCTCATGTAGTCCTGATATAATTATTTTACTTAACATGATTATTGATATATTTACATGTATGCCATTCAGTGCGCTCTATTATTTTAGTCTTGACAGATTTGCTACTTCGTCTGGGTAGCTCTCATCTGCAGGGATTATTCGTCTGCCAAAGTTTGAGATGGCAATGGCTAAATCCGAGGCTAACAATAAACCTGTCCTTGCTGCTGAAGATATTTTTATAGCCACTATGTAGGTTCCTCTTGCAGTTTTCTTTTTGCTAGATTTAATTTGCCAACCAAAATCAAGGCTTATATATTGTCTTTCATTGTTCAGCTATGGTAGAATATACTGCCTGCAAGTTGATAGGATTGCAATGCTCCTCCATTCTTATAGGTTTTACCGTGATGTGGTTGTACAACAGGTAAATTTTGTGATCGAACTGTCTATTAGAATCTTTTGATCCACCTTAAGTTGAAATTGTTGAAGAATGTAAAAACATTAGAAACTTGACAAAATAAAATACAATGTTTAAGTGAGTGGTTCCACTACTAATAACACAGAGGTCTTTTGTGATAAAAACCCACACCTGCTGGGCTTTGCAGGTGGTTAAGTTGGGAACAAAATCGGTGTTGGTAGTAGTGGGCCGCTGGTCCCTTTCCCTGAAATCTTAACAGAAATGTCAACCAATTGGCCACAGGTTATGTAGCATGGATATGTTATCCAAGGGTCTTTAATTCATATTGTACTGATACATCTCAGATACTCCAATATATCTTGGACCTTTTCTATTTTGTTTTTCTTGATAAGTATTTTAGTGTCTATTTTATTGGTATTTGAATTAAGGATGCTTGAATGACTAAATTACTTGAGGAACATGCATGGGTATGAATTTAAATTGATGAAGAGACAAATTACATGAGTGTAGACTGTCAATCCTAAAAAATCCTGCTTTATATTATTTCCCATTGGTTATCTTCGTGTTTATGCTTCTTGTATACTTGGGGTTGGCCTCCTTGTCAATATATATATTTTTTACTCACACTTCTCAACTATCAGCGTAAATAAATAAAAGGGGCCTATAGCTCTTGGATTGATGGATTTGAAAAGATTTTTCTTGGTAATTTTGGATCTCATTGTTGGGTTATTGGAGTTAACTCCTGTAAAATATGGGGGGATTGATGTTTGTGACAGAAAGTTTTGGTGGTTTTATGAGTAAATCATGGCTTCGTGTGATCACTACAGTTTCAGTGCATTTATGTGTACACCTTGGCTTCATGCGGTCACTTTTCACATTTACTCAGGTGTGTACTTATTCTATGCAAATGATGTTTGTATATACTTTGCAGGGTTCTTTGCCAATTTATTCAAGCAAGGTTGCTGTGAGTGTGGTTGATAATGTACTGCTTGTGCATCAAGTGGATGCGAAGGTTGTTATACTGTATGATATATTTGCAGATTCTCGGGCACCCATATCGGCCCCACTTCCTCTACTATTCAGGGGTTTCCCCAGGTCCAATTCTTCTTCCCTGCGACCAAATAGGGAAGATACTGAAAGTTCAGAAGTTAATGTTATGAGTGACCATGAAGCAATCGTCTATGGAGATGACTGGAGTTTTCTTGTTCCTGACCTCATATGTGATGTTGTTAATCAACTTTTGTGGAAGATTCATTTAGATTTGGAGGCAAGCCTTTTCATTTTCTTTTGCATAATTTGTTAGTATGATTGTTCTTCTGGCATTAATTGTGAATAAGAAAAGTAAATCTCTTTTTGCATAATCCCTCTTTCTCTCTTCCTGTAGGCAATTTCTGCCAGTAGCTCAGAAGTACCATCAGTACTTGAATTCTTGCAGCGGCGGAAGTTGGAAGCCAATAAGGTAGAATTTATTATTTGTTTCTTGGTATGCTCATTATTTCTTGATTTTTATTTCTTTTTTGTAAGGGGCAACTGCTTAGAGCATGCAATTTAATGATTTTTTTTTTAGTATCTTTTTTGGGTCGCTCATTATTGCAAAACCATTTTCCTATCTAAGATGCAGTTAAACCTTTATGATCTGTAACATCTAGTGGAGTGGTTTCACGTTCTTATGGTGCTGCATTGCCTTTCTTGAGGCTGAACTGCTTAATGACTATTGGCGATAACTTTATTCCATTTCCTTTTCAGGCTAAACAATTGTGCTTGTCAATAGCGCGTAC